TGCTCGAAAGGCGGCGTATTACTCCAGACGTCAGTATCGACGGTGACGATGTTCAAGACAAGGACGATGACGAGGTCGTGGCGGTGCTGGATGCCAGACAAGATGACATTCTGGCCACTAATTTATTCGTGACCGAGGCGCCCAATCTCCGGTTTGTCATGGGCGTGCCCTTCCGTGCACGTGATGGAATTGTGCTGGGTGCACTCATTGTGGCAGATTCGCAGCCCCGCACGTCGGTACCGTCACGTCAGCGCTCGTTGCTGAAGGATCTGGCGGAACAGGTCAGCGCTCTGCTCGAGGATCTGTGGACTCGCAATCAGGAGCGAGCCAACCTCGCGAGCTCTCAGTCTGGTCAGGGGCTCCGCGACCAGCTTGTGGACCTGCTCTCGCAGTCATACACTACCGGTCTGCAGATGCAGCAGAACGAGCTGAAAATGGAGCAGTCGACGTCTTCGTTGGCGTCGTCCGGCCACAAACCGCAGTACGCGAACGACTTTCGCCACATGCAGAGTGTCGAGCTATAAGTGACTTTTTACGGTTGGCTACATGTAGTACCCGTGAACGGCAACGTAAACCCGGACCTGCCGTACGAAAAACCCTCGTGGCTGAAACGGCGAGTCTGTATTCTCAGATTCCCGCCTTAAAGCATCGAAGAGAATAGCGAGCGGCAAACGAAGCCGTAGCTCAAGACCCGCTATTATGTTATGTAAGCACCAGTGCACCCGCTGCCACGGAGGAATACAGCGTCTAATTATCATTACGAAAATGCCGCCTTGTCCTAACCTAATTCTTTGCACAGACGCCATCGAATCAGATTTATACTAAGTACAGTATTCGTTTAATGGTTTTAAAGGATTTTGGAAGCAAGAATGGACTGAATAAAGCAAAGTCCCCACCTCCGACCGGGCGGACTCAATAGTAATTTTAAGTGGTTTGATGCGGGGAAGACGACCGACACAGACAGGCCAGACCTAGACGCGGGTCGCTATCGAAGGGTTGAATCTTCTTCAGAAGCCATTTATCGGTTCTTTTAATGTCGCTATATCCGGGGGGCATTTTCGCCGACCGACCATCTGTCGAGCAAAACAAAAAGCATACTTTCTCGAAGTGCGTTTGCGCTGCATAATTCGACCGCCCTCCATTCCCTGGCGCATATTTTTATAACCGCCTGGGAAGCCCAACGACTTCGCTCTGTTCTGCTCAGCAAGCTTAAGTACCGACGGCCAGTTCCCAATCTGCTTTCTAGCGCTCACTTGGATTCGTTGACCGGAAAGCAACAAGCCGCAACACTCAAAAGGCAGCACATTTTCAATGCACTACTCCCCCATGGACTCCCAGTCGTCGTCGTTGATCGTATCACCTAAAGCGCGGCCGCGCGTGTTCAGCTACAAGCGGCGCCGCAACGGTGCGTTGATCGCTGCCGTGAAGTCCGAGGACGGGTGCGACTTTGGTCTGCGGAGCGCTGGCGAGAGTTGGTGCACCACCTCAGGCGAGAGCTCAAGTGATGAGAACGACAGCAGCTTCGAGGTCGAAGAGGACCTTGTCGAAGAAGAGGAGGCGATGGTGGCCGCAAAGCGGCGGCGGCGCGCAGACCTGGAAGGGCTCAAGAAGTCGGTGCGGCATATGGAGGCGCAAGTAGTGGATGCGTCCGCCCAGCTGAAGGACCTCGCGGCGCTTGTAGCGCAAGTTATAGCTCGACGCCAGCAGCAGCAACTCCACGCATAGATCACAAAAGTGCAGCCGATGATATAGGCGCTCCGTACCGTAGTTTATTACGAACGACCAGGCGAGCCTTCGTCGGTGTTCGTGGCACGAACTTCGTGCCTAGTCCATAACCATAAATCACAATGTGAAGGTTTCGCTTGAGTAATACAAGTATATGTTTTGAGCGCCGGCAAAAATCAGTCTTGGCAATCTTGAATGGGCATTGTTATCGCATCCAGTCTTAAGCCGAAGACAAGACTTATGTGTACATGTGGCAAACACGTTGCCAACACTGGCCACACCCAAATTGTTTGACCGTCGAACGGCGATGGTCCAGCGAGCTTCCGGCAAAAAATCTTCTACGGCCGGTCGTGCTGCTGGGCATCAGTATCTTGACTTGAGTAACTTCGGGTTCAGTTAAACAAGGCGGTCGGTCGGTGAAAATGGTAGCGGAGCCGGGACAGTGTTGTTCGATTTGAAAAGCGCATCATTGAAGTAAATGTACTGCGCCAACTTAGCAAATGATTTATAATAGTGCTTGCAAGAAGAGCTGACCTATGACAATGGCAAGCTCGGCCAATGATGACTAAAACACATGTACCGAGGCTTTACTCCCGTGCCCCGGTTCTTGTTGCACGCCACCGTGTGCGTCTCCTCCACGAGCCAGAGCTTGTTGGAAAGCGCCGGCTGCGGGTCGACCGCCAGTTCGGACGTGATCTCATCGCACCGGGTGCGCAGACGGTTGAGGTCGATGTCATGGACGTCGGGTGGCAGTATGCGTCCCAGCGTCGCGTGGATGATCGAAAAGGTCTCCTTGGGCACGCTGCGGGTGTAGTCCACCGAGAATTCGGTATGCGCGTTGACAACGTCATCGCTGAGCTTCTCGTTGGCCGACAGGCACTGGAACAGCAAGATGATGGCACCCGAAGTGGCCATGAGCCTCGACAAGCCGGTAGGTAATTCAGCGATGACTACAGTAGTAGTGTTACACAACTTGTGTATGAGCTCCCTACTAAACTAAAGTTAAGTGACTATACTACTACATGTACTAGTGAAGATGTAATAGTACTGTACAAAAAGTGGTACAGTAGTATTGTATCACTTCAGTCATTTCTAAGCTTACCTGAAACACAGGCTGTATCAGCTTGAGTATTGACGAAGTAATATTGTAGTACACTGTACCATGGTATGTAATTTTATCAAGTACATTATTCACATCGCAGGCGGGGTTAAGGCCGCTACCGGTATTGGTCTTCAACGTCGGACGCAGTTGTCGAACGATGAATGCTGCCATTTTCTGAATAGCCAAGTCGGCGTGCGGCAGGAACCACGCCGGGAAAATGGGGAACACGTGGGGCATGCCCTTGTGTAGGTCGTACTCCCAGTTAGAGACACCGTCCGCCTTGCCTTGGCCACTAAGCGGACAGCGTGCTGGTGGATGCTGTCGAGATCTCCGGTTTGCACGAACACCGGCGGCAGGTTGCGGAGATCGTAGTGAACGGACGAGGCATCACCCCACTTGCTGGGGTCCTCAATCGACGGGTGGTAAGCTCTCAGCACTGCGTTGCAGCATTCAGGGGTCAAAATGCAGTTTGAGGATGGAAGTTCATCGCCCGTGAGGTCGACGTACGGACACAGCAGAGCAGCACACAGCGGAAGGAAGTAGGGCTTGGTGCGACGCTCTCTCAGCATCGCCGACATGATCAGCCCGGCGCCGGCACTGTCACCGGCAAGAACAACTTGAGACGGGTCCAGGTTTTCATGGTACAGCAAGTGTTCGTACACCTTAGCGATGTCTCGAGGTTGAGTCGGATAGCTGAACTTGGGCACCTTTCGGTAGTTTGCGAGAAAGATCTCTACGTGCACTTTGCTGGCTGCCTCCACGCCGACTTGACGAGCCAGTTCCTTCTCAATCAGGCTGCACAGAGCGTTGCTGAAGTGGATATAAAGTCTTGGGCTCATGATAGCGAAGCCGCCTCCGTGTGCGTACAGCACTACGAGTCTCTTCGTGTTGGGCTCTCGTGGTGTCTGTGACCGCAGCCAGATGTGCTCCAGACCGTTGATCTTCACTGACTCATAACGTTTGCCAGCCTTCCGACAGGCCTTGCGACCCCAAAAGGTGCCGAACCACTCGCTCTGTTCACGGACGATGGACGCGTAGCTCTCGTCTCCAAGAACGCGCTCACCGTACAGTTCCATCCCCACGCGAATGAAGATGCGGAACAGCTCGAACCTCAGCGTCCATTGTGGGAAAACGGGCTTGAAACCTCGAGCAGATACGCGCCCTCCAGCGGGTTCTTGCACAAACCGCGCGTCGCAATGTGTAGCACCTTGAGTACGACTGCAGCGCTGGCAACTCCAAACAAGAGCGACATGAGCTTGTAGCGCTGGTGAGGATCGGACAAAGCTAACACCAACGCCGTGCTGACAGCCCAAGGTGTCGCCGTACGGACGGCAGGCTGCCGGCCTTAGAGAGCATGGTTGCGATGTAAGAGCTTTCCGGGGTCGGGGGACGTCAACAGGACCTCGCACAAATGCTAGTGAGCCTACAATGTACTGGCCCCTCGCCCTTCATTGACCTTGACCGCGAGCGAACCTTGGTCGGAGACCGCACAGCTGGTGAGCGAAGCCATACCCCGGGTTACCCGACGCCATCGACTCGAGTCTCGACGGGGGCCTCTTGCATCGTCTGCATAGCGCACGCATGCTGATGAATCCCACTTCGCTGTGCCATCAGGAGGGATCACAATGCCAAGTCGACTTTGGCGTTGCAGCAACGGTTGCTGGATCAGCATCGTCGGGCGTACCATACGCTGCTTACCTAAGGTCTTCACCATGTGCGTTCAAGTTCGCGTTATGTCGGACGTATTGGTCTTTGTTGGTCATGCTGCGATTCCTTGGTTTTGCATTTTTAAATCGATGTCGCAGTGGATGGTAGTCCGCGCAGCATCATGCGGACCCACTGGCGATGTCGTCATGTGCGGCGTCATCCATGTCACCACGGACACATGGGTACCTCACGTATGGACGATCGCCCGGCGGCCACGGGATCTGATCTCGAGCGAGTCGTCCAAACTCGAGTCTATTTTAAAGACTCCTGGTCTGCATGCACATGTACTTAATCCATTTCAACCTGTACGCGTAGGTACGTTGCCTTCCTGCAATGGACGACTACACAAGCACAAAAGTAGAGAGGAATGCAAACACACGTACACATCTTAGGTTGTCCATTCGGCAACATGTCGAGCTGCAGTTCATTACCACCTCGCTTGTATTTCTAGGCCTGGGCACGGCGCTTCTCCGCCGCGGCCACCGCCTTCGCGAGACTCTGCTCGAATGGAGGGTAGCACACTCCTTCCCCCGTGATAATACCAGTTAGATAGCGGTTGGGCGTGACGTCGAACGCCGGGTTGAACACCGGGCAGCCCTCGGGCGCGATACGCACGCCGCGAATGCAGGCCACCTCGTCGGCATCGCGCTCCTCAATGGGGATACCCATTCCCTCGAGAAAGTTAAGATCGATGGTGCTCGTAGGCACGCACGCGTACACAGGCACCTTGTTCTCCTTGGCGACCACCGCCAGCTTGTACGTGCCGATCTTGTTCACGATGTCTCCGTTCGCTGCCACACGGTCAGCTCCGAACAGCACCACGTCCACTTTGCCAGACAGCATGAGGTAACCCGCTGCATTGTCGGCGATGAGGTGAATTGGCACGCCCTCGCGCATGAGCTCCCAGGCCGACAGGCGCGCGCCCTGCAGACGTGGACGAGTTTCATCCACCCACACGTGGACGTTCTTGCCCTGTGCGTGGCACTCGTAGATGACACCGATAGCTGTACCGATGTCTACGGTCGCCAACGCGCCGGTGTTGCAGTGGTGCAAGATGTTGGCACCGGCAGGCACGACTTCTGCCCCGAACTCGCTCAATCTCTTGTTGATCGCCACATCCTCCTCGGCCAACGCCTGAGCGACCGTTAGCGTATAGGTCGCCAAGTCAGCGACGCTCACGTCCGTCTGCACTTTGACACGGATCATCTTAACCACGCGCTCCGTCGCCCAAGTCAAGTTGACAGCTGTCGGTCGAGCGGCATCAATGGTCGTCTTCGCCTGCTCCACAGTCTTGAGCAGATCTTCCTTGGTACCACAGGCTGTGGCCTGAAAGTTCTTGGCGGCGATCGCCAGGCCGAACGCGCCGGCCGCGCCGATCGCGGGGGCGCCGCGCACTGCCATGTCCGCAATGGCACGCGTGACGTCGTCCACAGTCTCGCAGCGCATCAGCACCAGCTCCGTCGGTAGTTTGCGCTGGTCAATGAGCTGCAGGCCGCCATCGGCCCACAGCACGGAACGCATTCGTTCTCCAGCCATCGTCTCTATTTTGTCAAATGTGGCGGCTCGGACTTAGTGCTGATCTTGGGATTTTTGGTCGCACGATCTTGAAGCGATGCAGTGGACGCGCGAGCTGAACGACCTGCTAAACCAGTGCGTATTCGCCAGCGGCTATGACTTCGAGGCGTCCAGCGAGCAATTCTGTCAACGGGCCACAAAGTTACGCCTGTGGCGTGGCGACGGGGAGATGACGTTGACAGCAAATCAGTGTCAAGAACAATGGATGGTCTTGAACCCGACAGAGGAAGAGGAGGAAGAAAATGAGGGAGAAGGGCCAGAGACACACAGCAATGAGACTAGAGAACGGCGTGTCGTTGAGGCCATCACTGAGGAGGAGGAGGGCTTTGTGGTTGTGCCGGATGGAGGACCTCGATTGGAGTTGTCCGTGTCAGATGCAGAGCTGGATCAGCTTCTGAGCGCGCTTCCACCTAGTGAGGAACCTGAACAAGTCGATGGCTCTTCGTCTGCAGACGCAAAGATGACGCGTCCTCGCAGTGAGATGCAGTGGGTGCTGGCGTTCTTGACGGACCCGGACGCGATCGCCACAGTCGACGTTGAGGCCAAGAACTTGATGAAAAGTCGTGAGGGAAATGACGACGACAACTACCAGGGTTTTCTGCAAGATCTTCACGATGCGAACCTACTGGCACCAGCGCCGATCAGCGCACTTGATCGACCTTCTAAGCAACAGCAAGGAGTAGACACAGCATGTGTTAATAACACCGACGAGTGTGGGGAAGACAGCAGCGACGAAGACCAAGAAGAATGGGAACGTACTCGACAGGCCGTGAAACACTCGAGGAAGCTTCAGTAGCTACCGGATTCCCTCGCAGTATTCATAAATAATGGACCATCCTCTAGCAGCAGCATTTACGCCTTTCGTCGCTTGTTTGCCGCTTTCTAGGGGCAGATTTTGCTGTTGCGCTCTCTTTTCTCCTGCGTTTGGCATACTTTTCTGGCTCCTCCACGTGCATCACACTAGCGTCGAGACCAATTTCTTCGCTGAGCACTTGTAGCCAAAGCAGCTGCTTGTCACTGAGTCGGTCACGTGGTCCCTTGACCTCCACAACCTTCAGCTGAGTGGCGTAGCATTCATCTTTTAATAGATCAAGAACACGTTGCAATGGCTGCACTTCTGCTAGCTTGTCTTCTGAGATGGTCTTTTGCGAATCCTCCTCCTGCTCCAACGACTCTGTATACAGCTGGGTCTTCTCGTTCATGTTCAGCTCCTCATCCATGCCACAGAATGCGTGAATGTTCAAGCAACCATGACTATCACCCGTGTATTGTGGAGATGGCGACACAGAATCCTCTCTTCTAGAGAACTCAATCCTCAAGAGAAGGAGATCGGGCAGACCATTCTGAGCCTGATGGAACTCCTTTGACGTGGCCATGTAGCGCAATAGACTGGCAAGCTGTGTGCGTCCAATTGCCGCAATAGTCAGCAAGTGATACTGCAACATGGGAATGTCGTCGCTTGGCCAGTGAACAAAGCGACTCACCTTCCCAAACTCGGAGGTCCATTGAGTCACAAATGCTGTTAGCAGTTCCTCCATCGTCCAGTCATTCTCCACTTGCGCTAATCGACGCTCAATGAGATCGCGTCGACTCTTATAGAACACTTCTGCATAGCCAAAATCTAGAGGAGCTGACTGGAATGGCGTCTGGAACACGTCGGCGATGCTTGCGTACAGCACGTCCCACATCAAGATACCAAACAGATTCCCAAACACCATGCCCTCCGAATGAACCCCGTACCAGCCTCCGAACCTTGTCTTTTCAGCGGATGCAGGGTGGTGGTCTCGGTAGTATTGCAAGACAAGTTGTTCAACCGTGCACGGCTCATCGTCGTAGCCCACAAATCGCGATTTTTCTCCCGTTTGACGGTTTAGCGGACGGCCAACGATGTGGCTCTTGCAGTAGTCATAGCTAACGTGAGTCTCGGCCGGTACAGCCTTTTCTTCGTCATCGTTGGTATCCATGATGGGGGTAATCATGCTGGTTTTAGTACTTTGGAGCAACAGGTCAGCAGTGGACAGCGATTCAACTCGAATTCTTTCGTCGCGGTCTTTTTGACGCTCCAATCGATTCAAACGTCTCTGAATTGCGATTCGATCTGCTGCGAGCACATGTGGATCCTCCAGCGCATTCACGCACGTGGCTCGGGCTTGGTCTGCGCACTTCAAATGCTCCAAATTCAAAGCTAGACGATCCCACCAGTAGCCGCGTTTCCGCTCAAGAAACGGAGCTGCCAGTAGTTCGTTTAGCAGCAGAGTGGCGATCTGGTACCTGCGCATCTTCTCGTACAAACCCACCGCCGTGTGCAAGATCTGAACCAGATGGTAGCCAGCATTGCACTTGGAAAAGAACACGGGGATGCCCGACGTGCTGTATGCAGCCGCCTTCATCCACTTCAAATACGCCTGTAGACAGCCTCTGCTAGCCAGCACCAAGTCATCCAGCGACTGCAGCTTCTCAATCTCCGTGTAGAATTGCTCCCAGCTGCGCATTTGCCAGTTAGCAGACGCTTTATCATCAGTTTGTCTGGGCGGAGCTACAACGACACACTCGTCCTCCGTCTCCGTAGACTCTTCGTCTTCGTAGAGAACGTACAACAGCCTCTGAAACGCTAGAAACACCGGTGGAGCGTCTGCAAGCATCCACTTGAGCTCTAGATCTGGTTCCTGATACTCCTTCTCAGGTGTCACGATTTGTATGCACTGCTCAACGACGTTCATGATGCGATGCAGCTGATACGCCACTTCGTAGCTCACGTAGCCCTCAGATGAAGGGAAAACACAATGAGCATTAAGCATCGTGACAGCAGAGTCAGCACCACTCGAACACTTGGTTAATGTATACTCTGGGTACGCCACTTTCTTGAAAAACACCATCAATCCCGGCCACTGCGTCGGCTCCTGCCTCAACTTGTGTGTGGCCAAGGCGATGAGCTGCGTCTCATTCTCCAGCTGCGGAGGCATCAGCGACAGCGCGTTGAATGGCGGCGTCGAGACGAAGTAGAAGAGGCGATGCATCCTCAGCATCAGATCCCTCGTGGCTGGAGTCATCCTCAGAGCCATCACGTCCGAGCTCTTCCTACCTGTCAAAGGGTAAGACTCCAGCCAAATCTGCTGCATGAACTGCGCCACGGGGATCCTGGAGCCGTCAATACATCGCTGCGTCTTCACCACCTTCTTGATCGCCAACATGAGCTCAGCCTTGGCGATATGTTTCCTGCTGCCTGTCATTTTCTTGTACAGCGCCGCCAGTTCGGGTGCCGTGGCGCATCGCTCAATAGCGTCCAGCGCAGTCTCCAAGGTGGTCAACTCCTGGCTTGGAGACTGAGGTCGGGACGACGTAGTGGCGGGGAATTGCTCAAGGAAACCGGCGTCGATCATCACGTGGACGACGTCCTGTACCTGCTCATTGATTGGCTGTTCGTCCTGGACAAAGTAGCGGAAGACTGATGTGATCCTGTACCAAGGACCCTGACGCTGCAGTAGACGTGCGTACAATTGCTGTTCGAAAGGTTTCAAGGCGGTCAAGAAGCGAGATGCGATGGCGATTTCCTCCGAGCACAAGAGCTCACGGAAGTCCTCGCGCTCGAATAAGATCGTCGAAAGCACGAGGGTGAAGTGGCGAGCGTATGCGTCCTCCCATGGCGGTTCTTTGTCAGTAAGAGCGTCATGTAGAGGCTCCTCCTTGACCTCGCTGTCTGTATCCATGTCGAGTGCGGAATTTGGCTTTATCGTCACTATTTAGCACATTAGTGACATGGGTTGCAACATAAGAGCTCACTTGCCTCTCATTCTGCAACTTTCCTTTCAAAGGACTGGCTCGGCTGAAATCGAGAATCGCAGGACCGCGCGCTGATCAGAATTGAGGGGGAAGACATGGCCACTCCACCTCCGATCGTCCCTCCTAAGCCCACCAAGACTCGACGTCAGAGCAATGGCAACGGCAACTTGACCAACTACCAGCGCAAGGTCATCTGCGAGTTCTACCGCAAGAGCGGCGGCGTCATGTCGCAGAAAGACCTGGCGCAATGGACCAAGCACGAGTTCGGGCTCAAGAAGACGCCGGCGCAGTCCACGATCTCGGGGATTCTGCGTCGCCAGCACGAGTTCATCAACATGAGCTCGCTGGAGCTTGGTATCAAGAAGCGACGCGTAGTGCAGCACCCGCAGCTGGACTCTGCGCTGGCCAATTGGGTCATTCAGACGGCTGGAAGAGGTCAGACTGTGCAGGGAGATCTGACGAAGGAAAAGGCCAAGGAATTCGCTCAAATGCTCGGGATCCCAGACAGTGAACAGCCAGAGTTCTCGAATGGATGGCTACATTCGTTCCAGCTGCGTCACAACTTCAGTTTCCGCAAATTCAATGCCGAGCAGCACCAAGCAGCGCAGGACGACCCGCGACGCAGCGCTAGGGTGTTGTACTGGACCAATATGGAGGCGCTGATGGCCGAGACGGACAAATACGAGCCCAAAGACGTCTTCGCGGTGGAGGAGACGCCTGTGCTGTACACGATGCCGCCCGTGCAGAACGCCCTGGAGGAAGGACGGATGCGCTGCAAGAAGCGCTTCGTGGTGTCTCTTGCCGCCAACGCTGACGGCTCGGAGAAGCTCCAGCCTCTGTTTGTGTCGCATCATGAACACCCCAAGTGTTTCCGTAAGAAGACCGCAGAGCAGCACGGCCTTCACTACTTCTGGAACAACAAGGCGTGGATGACAGGCGTCATTTTCTCTCGCTGGCTGCAGCGTCTGGACTTCTCGATGGCCAACCAGAAACGCCGCATCTTGCTCTTCATCAACGACATGCCGTCCCATGTCGTGGCGCATCTGGACCTCAAGAACGTCGTCGTGTTTGTGCTGAACCCCGCCGTCACGCAGATGCTCAACCCCATCACGTCGCGTGTGGTCACGACGTTCAAGAAGCGCTTCCGTCGCTACCATCTGCGCCACGCTATTGACAAGTCTGAGACCAACAAGAGCGCCATGTTCGACGTGGATGTGCTACAAGCCATGAAGTGGGCGGCGGCCAGTTGGGACGAGATCACGACCGAGACGATCAAGCGCGCCTGGATCCCCACGCAACTGGTGCGTAACCGGGTTACGCTGGATGACCACGTCCTCCTCCAAGAAGAAGAGGAAGTGCTACTGGATACGGAGCTGGAGCACTTGATGCTCTTCCTGCGTCTATCGAACCCTGTGCCCATGATGGAGTACCTGAATGACGAGACCATGTCGGATTACCCCGTGCACGAAGATAAATTCGACGTTGTGTCCAGTGTGTGTGAAGTGCCGGAGGACGAAGTTGACGAGTCGGTCGAAGAGAGTCCCGGTCGCACGCTGTCTCTGCAGGAGAAACTCAAGGCGTTCCGAGACGTTCTCCACGTGCTGAAGGACCGAACCGATGCTGACGATTCCGCTCTCAACGCCATTCGACGAGTGCAGGACGCGATCCGAATGGAAGGTCAGAAGGAAGCGATGGGCGCGTTGGGCTCCAACGGAGACGCCAAGAATGTGTTCGACCTGGACACGGCGGCTGTAGGTGGCGACAGTAACAATGACTCTGCTTCTGCGATGCCCTCGCTCGAGGTCGACAGTCAGCAGCACATGGACGCGTCTTCACTTCTGGACTCGTCTGAGAGCTCTGCGCTATCTGCAGCCTCCGCGTCGCTGGCCGAAGGTGCAGGAGACCACACGAGCTCGATTCTGAGTGGAGCGACAGAAGAAGATCGCCAGAACGTCAACGAGAGCTTCCACGCTGTGATCTGAGCCGGAACTCGGTGGTAACTACCGGTAGTTGATTCATGTTGTTTACACCTTCACAGACCCAGGGAAAAATGCACGTACACCTTCTAACTGCTCTCCCGTGTTACCCCATTCTACTCCTCTACTTCTGCAGTACGAGCATTCTGTATCGTTCCTTCTTCCTCTTGGTCAGATCCATGGCCAATCCAGAGCCGATCGTCTGCATGATGGACTTGTGCTTCCTCCTCTCGCGTGTTGTCTGTTCCCAGCGACGGAATGCAGGCCGAAGCTGTCGCGTTCGAACGGTGCGGAAGAACAGAAGGAAGATGGCTCGATGTCTCTCGTACTCCGTCACTTGGGACCACTTCTCCACTGCCATCGACAGCGTCCGTCGCAGGAATTTACGCATCAAGCGCTTAGCAGCAGCTTGGACACGACGTTGCTCCTCTGTGAGCAGATACCGTGAGGCATAGTCGGCAGCTTCAGCTACGTCGTTGGCTTTCCAGTCTGCGATGACGTTCGTCAACGTGTCAACGAGTTGAGTGCTGGCGTCCAACTCGTTGCGAGTCTCTTCACCTACGTGGATGGCATGCAGATGGCCCAGATGAGCGTGAGCTGCAGCGAGCGACAAGTCCAGTTCATGCAGGCGAGACAAGAAGTGCACACGACACGCGCAGACATTGTCGATCAGGCCGAGTGAAGCGATCTCCTCTTCAAGCTGCGGTCGCGTGGTTGATTCGTCGAGGCCATAGGCCACGTTGCCCATAGTGACCAACGCCCAGTACAGAACACGAGACTCTTGATGGTGATCTACAAGTGCTCGTTGCAGCAGAGGTAAGCCGTTGGCCTCCGCGATCCCCCACTTCATGCTTGCTATGCAGAAATGTGAGCGAGTTAGCCTTAACAGCAAGCTATGAGCAACACAGGAACTCACCGTTCTCGTACGAGAACACTGCGAGGACATAGCAGCATTCCCCCACTACAGCGGCTTCCCCTCGATACGACTCGTTTTCCAGGAATGACAACACTAGCTCAACGCCCGAGCAGGCCTCGAACGCCACTTTGGCGGCTCCGTTCTCACCCAGCACAACTCCCATCAGCTCCAAGCAAAGAACGATCACTTGAATCTCTTGCGCAGACTTATTCATCTCTTCGATGGCTACAGTATGAGAGCGAAGGAGGCTGCCAAGCACTTGAAAGCGTGAGGATTCAGTCATGAATCGTTGCGTACTCATTTGAAGTCGCGTAAGTTTTAAAAAGACTCGGAGGGTGAGAGCGATCGTGACTTTCTCGTTAGGGAACCAAGCGACGGACTCAAGCAGCAGTCCCAGTCCTTGACATTGCACTAGCTCCTGCTCGAGCTTCAGCTGGCTGCAAGCCCCAGGTTTGCCTCGATCTTCGCGCATCCCGTCGGTTTGAGTCTCCCATTCAACTCGATCCGCTTCCTCGCTCTTCTCAACTTGTGCGTAGATCCATTGCACACTGCGAAACTGCGTCTGGGAGTCTGCTTGCTGCTGTCGCATCCGTTTGATCGCCTCCTTGATACTCGAACAGTGTTTTAACCTCCAAGCGAGAGAAACTTGTTGGAGTGTGATGAGCCTCACCACTGCACTCCATCGACTTTTCTTCATCCGATTGACGGCTCGGCATCGTAAGGAATACATCGTATCATGATGGAGATCGCCAACGTAGTGCGCTGACTTGGGTCCGCGGTAAACACACTCAAATGGATCGTGATGCTTTGCGTCGAGTGCCTCGTGACGGCACATTTCGAGCTCGTAATGGACTGGAAGTCCGTGTAAAGGCTGCCAGTCTCGTGGGAGCTGCCAGTACACTTGCACGCTAGTGGACGCAAGACACGAGGTCAAGATAAACGGCTCCGGCGGTACTACAGACACCATGCAGCAGCGTGTGAGTTACGTGGCCAAACGCTAACGAACCAGAGAGACGAACGTACTTACGAGTGCTAGTGCCGCGTTCAAGATCGGTTTGATGTACCAGCACGACAGCGGTGCGGGCTCCTTGGGACCCGAGAGTTGTTGAATACCAAGCAGCTTCCCGCCACGCGTGAAAACTGCGCAGCCAGCTGACCCGGTCTCTGTGACTCGATCGTACTGTAAATGCTGCACGTTAATGGAGTTTGGTACGAGTCTGGCGAGTTGTCGTTGATGCAGAACCTGCGGTTTACCGTGGGGATGGCCCACGATTTCGAGATGTTCACTTAACCGAAGACTGTCAGCTTTACCGCATCCCAGTTTCCGGTCATTCATCTCGAAGCGAAGTGGCCGAACATTGTCCCCGGCGGCGATCAAGAACTGATCTTCATTCAGAGCACACAACGCAAAGTCGACGTGCGGTTGATGAGCCTTTTTCTTCGGAGCCTGTGGCTGTATTGGCGCTCCATTGAGAGGCTGCAGGCGTGAGGAATCTTCGGACATTTTGATACCAGCGAAGAAAGTGTCAGCAGCGAGTAACAGAGGAAAGGCCACGCGTTCATCAGCGTAGTTGCAGATTGCGCGTGCTGACCGAGCAGCGGTCTCATCCGCGAGAGTCTTGCCATCAGTTAGAACGCACAAGATTCCGCAGAACCGACCGATGATACCAGAGCCGTACGCGTTCCCCTCGGACGAAATCTTGCAGACAGCCTTGCGGAAGTAAAAGGCTTCGATCTCCAGGTCGTCGTCGTTGTCTGGCATTTTAGCACGTTTGGACATTGAGCCGGCAGTGCCGGGGCGTGGACGGAAGAACGGAGGTTTCTGTTCGGATCGCTCACCCGTGCGCGTGTTGAGGTAGTAGAAGACGCGGTTATCTGGATCAAAGAGCTTCATGTAGCTCTCACGCACGAGTTGTCGGATGGCCGTTTTGGCTAGGAACGCCCGGACAACTCGCTGGATTCGTTGCGCAGCCTCTCTAGGCGACAGATTAACGCGCCCTCGAGCGATATCGCGATCCCCGGGCACGAATCGAACAAGAAGAAGCGGCTTCTCCCACGTGCTCACATCCGTCAGAGTGTTGACATAGTAGTGCTGCTTACGGATGGGGTCGTAGTGTTTCTCGTAGACGCTTAGAAGCAACCGTGCCATGCGTTGACGACTCAGAAATGCACGGAGCTGGTTCTGAAGCACCCGTGCCGCGCAGTCTTCTTCGTGTGCTCTCCATTCGTCCACGAGCGACGTCTTTGGGTCGGACGAACTGCCTGCTGTTGTCTGACGTCTCGTAGTGCCACCTCCTCGACCTCCTCGTCGTCCCGCACCACGCATGATCAACCTGTGCACCACAAGACGTTAATAAGCGTCCTGCAACGCTTCACGACCTCGTGGTCCAAAATGGATACGCTACACGAAGAAACAGACTGCAATTGTCGGTATCGGCGTGTTTTGTCATGTTAAGAGCTCATCACCAAGTAGTTTAAGCAGTAGCTAGGCGCTGTATCCGGCGCTCAACAGTGTCAAGCTGCTTGCGTAGTGAACGACGGCGTCCCTTCTTGCCTCGACCCTGCTCGTTCGACAGCGAATCTTGGAGTACCTCGAAGCGTGTTTCAAGGTCTCCCAGTGATCCGGAGACCAACGGTGAATGCTCGTCACAGAAGACGTCTTCGTCGGTCTCTCCACGAGCTTTCGCACTCTCGCGGCACGATTCACAGAGCAGCACGTGCATGCGGCAGTAGGCGCAACGAGTTCCCGGCAACGTATCGTGCGGCACCTGGCAGCGCTCACATTGCCCCGTTACTGTCTTGTCCTCGGACGCCACAGTCACGCGCTGGTCGAAGACGAAGTTCTTGCCTTGGAAGAGACCTCCGCCGTCCGGGAAGCGCTCGAGGTAGCGGTGGATGCCTCCTTCCAGCTGATAGACGTTCTCCAGACCCAAGTGCTTCAGATAAGCCGAAGCCTTCTCGCAACGGATACCACCTGTGCAGTACATGAGCACCTTGTCCTTCTGCTGTAGCATAGGCAGCTCGTCTCGAACCCACTGCGGGAATTGTCCGAAGCGACGAGTTTTGGGGTTCAAAGCCCCCTCAAAGTGACCGACGTTGAACTCGTACGTGTTACGGACGTCAATGAGAGCGATAGATTCGGCGTCGGAGCTCAATTGTTCGGACCGGAATTGCTCTGGAGTCAAGTGTTTGCCGCGCAGACTTAAGTCGTAGGCGTCGTCCGGCAGTTCCAGGGCCACAATCTCCGCTACTACACGCACATGTAGCTCCGGGAACGGCTCCACTCGCGACGAGCTGGTCTTCCAGTCCACGTCGGCGAATTGCGGCTGCTGCTTCATTGTGTCGATGTAGCTCTGCACATTGGCGCTAGAACCGCCCAACGTTCCGTTGATGCCTTCCAGTGCGAGTCGCACGCGACCGGTGACTCCCAAGGACGAGCACAGCTGGTCATGGGCAGCCGCAAAGGCTTTCAGCTCCTCTCGCGTCTCGCACAGACGCACGTATTTGTAGTAGAGCACCACGACGTACGCGCTATCCTGCCCCATAGTGACGGTTGACTCCTTCATGCCGATATCGAGGTGTGACCAGCGAAACGTGTGGAGCGGACAAGAGACGGGTGCAAAGTATCAGATCATGGAGGCGAGTGAAGACGCGGACGGCCAGAGCTCACGCTGGCAGAAAGAGAAAAGGAAAGCACCCGCGTCCAGACATGGTTTTCAACAGGTGTCATAGAGCTCTTCGCATTTGATGCATTGGGTCGACGTTCGAGCATGAAGACGATGTGGGGCTGGAACTCCTAACTCTCCAACAAGTTGAAGTTGTCAATTATCCTCGCCTAACGTTGCATGTATCTCCACATCCGAAACAACTATTTTCCTGTATGTGTAAGACCTTACGCTACCGTTGCAACTACGTCCTCCTTCGTTGTGTCATCACCACTTGACGCTTTGGCAAAGTGCTTGGCTGCGAAAACTGCCGCCCTCTGCACGCCGATCTGTGCGTACGGCAGCACGTAGGATGGAAAAATGGCGAACACATGCGGTAAGTCTTCGTGTACGTCCAACTCCCAGTTGGTCACTCCATCAGCTTCTGCCTTCTTTGCTAGTCCGATAGAGTGCTGGTAGATGTAGTCCAGACTTGCAGCCTGGACAAACACGGGTGGAAGATCTCGTAGATCGCAGTGAACGGACGAAGCGTCTGCCCACGTCGCTCGGTCCGTCGCCGTCGTGTGGTAGCCCCGTCGTCCTGCAGCGATCATCTCTGGAGACAGAATGCAGTGCGCCGATTTAGCCTCCGAGTCTCCAAAAGTTTCAACCTCCGACATATCGACGGCGGGGCAGATCAGGATGGCAGCTAGAGGCAGTTGCTCTCTGCTCGTGTCTCGCATTCTCAGCAGAGTTGACATTACCAAGCCTCCACCAGCACTGTCACCCGCGAGGATGGTCTGTTCCGGAGGAATACCTTCTGTATGAAGCAGGTGTTTGTACGCAGCGACGGTATCTTCAGGTGGCGTAGGGAAGCAGTGCTCAGGTAGTTGCCAAGGAAGACGTCGACTCGAACAGATTCGTTAGTGCCAAGCTGTAGTCGGAGCTCTTTCTCGATGGCGACAGCGAGGGTCGCTCCGAACGAGACGTAGAGTCTCGGGCTCATGACTGCGAAGCCACCTCCATGGACGTAGAGCACCACAAGGCGTTTGGTCGTGGGTGTTGACGGAGCTGTGGATCGGAGCCAAATATGCTCCAGTCCGTTGGTGTGCACTGGTTCAAGACGCCGGCCGTGCTGTCGACAAGCGAGCCACCCTAAAGCGGTACCAAACGCAGCACTCTGCGAGCGGATCACACATGCGTGTTTGGCGTGCATCACCATGCGCTCTCCGTGAGGCGCACGAGTGCATTCTCGGATAACAGCTCGCAGGATCTCAAAGCTCAGCGTCCAGTTCTTAAATTTGGGCTTGCAGCCCCGCGCCACGAACCAGACGGTGGTTGAGCCGACGATGATGACTAAGCGCACCATTAAGCGTACCGCTTCCAACGGTGTACTGCACATGCCCTTGAATGTTTCGTTTAGAATCGCCACCGTCAGAGCTCCAGTCGCTCCACCAAACAGCAGTCGGACGATCAAACGCCGTCGCTCCGGGTCAGCCCAGATTCGCCTCAGTATGGCCCATTGAGCTCTCAGCTTCTTTGGCTCCGTCAACGCGACCATTTTTTGCCTGCTTGCCAAGTTGGAAATGAGCGTCAATGCTCAAGTCGAATGCACCTTTATCCGGTGGGATGTTGAAGACGAAACGACCCAGCACCACACGTCCCGTCCGAAGTTCAGACCGAACAGGTCTAGTGACGCAGGCGTTGAAGCGTTTCCAAGCAGTCTTGTCAAACTATGAGGCTCTTTGAGAGACCATCACGGGCTCTTCACGCCGGCACCTTCAAATCTTTAACGAGACGTGGACACCGTAAAGTAACCCACCTATTATACATGGTGAACAATCGTCAACGGCTGCCGGTTTTCCACCGACATGTATGCAGGCTCGAACCGGTAAGAAAATCAATGCATGGAAATCTATATTGCGCTCAGTCCAGATAGCCCAGTTTCTAGTTGCGTCGTCTCTTCTTGCGGCTCTGATTACTGCGCGCCTTCTGGATGTTGCCGGCCACGCGGTGCGTGTACTGCACGATGGCCTCGTCCGCCATGATCTCGTCCGTGAAGGTTTTGCGGCGCTGCTTCTTCGTGAGGCGAGCGGAGTGGAACTCGTGCGCGCCCTCGATCACCACGCCCATCTGGAAGTGTTTGGGCAGCGCACGCGAGTGGTCCGAGCTCTTGTAGAATTTCTTTGGGTCCAGGTAGTTACGCATACGCAGCAAGGCGAAGTCGCGGCGCGCGTCGTCCGTAATCTCCTCCGACTCGAAGTTGAACCACCGGCGTCCAGCAGATTTTTTGTATTGGGACTCGGCGCGTTGTCTTTCCGAATGGGCCACAGCTTTCTGACCTGCTGCCAGCACCTTGGCCTCCTCTGCGGCCCTCGTGTCGGCACGGAGCGTCGCCGCCTGCGAGCGCTTCGAGCCTTCGAAGTTGAAGAATTCTCGGTACTGCGAGGCGCCGCTATCCAGTTGGTTCGGTACCAGTCGGCGCTTCAAAAGCGCAGCGGTCGACGGCTTCGCAGAGGCAGATGAAGTTGCAGTCGCTGACTTGGTAGACAGGTTCAAACCAGACGCAGCAAGAGAAGCCTGCAGCAGCCAACGACCAACATCCGTCAGTACAATATTCAAACTCTAGCATGAAAGAGCAACGTACGTATTGGTCGACGTCTTCGTCATCGTCGTCTTCGTCATCGTCGTCTTCATCCTCTTTTTCGTTATCATCCAGCAGCATAATATTCTCCTCATCATTCTCCACTGGAGCCTCCTTCTCTTCCTGCTCCACCTCGACGACCTCTTCGTCATCATCCAGCAGTACAATCTCATCTTCCTCCTTCTCCACTACCTTCTCTGTCGTATCATTATCTTCATCTTTTTTCTGCTCCTTTTGTTCCGACTCCTCGTCCGTCACGACGACAGGGATTTCCTGTGGCTCCTCCTGGCTCGCAGCCTCGGTCTCTTCCTGCGGCTTCTTGTTACGACTGCGTGGCGACGGCGTACGACGCGATTTTCTCGTGGGGGCGCGACCGACAGGCGAACTCATCGGAGACGGTGACGGGCTGGCCTTAGCCTGGAGACGACGCGACGTCCGACGCGTCTCGACCATGTTGCTACAGCTTATGACTGGCGAAGGAGCAAGCGTTGGTCGCGTATTTTGATTGGCTGAAACGTGAGTGTATACTTAACGAAAGCTGTTGATGAGCTTTCAGATTTACTTGAGTACTGCAGTGTGAATGGGGCGCAATAATGTCAAGAAGTTGGCCAAGAAGGCTCCGGTACGAGTCGTCGATGCTGATTAGTACTTAGTGCATCCAGTGTGCTGGTGTCTAATACCTTTATCGCCTTCGTTATACGTGCAGAAAGTGATTTTCCAGGCTGCTACCGGCAAGCGACTGGACGACGTCGTGTCCAAGACCAAAGCCAAGCCGAAGAAGAAGCAGAAGAATTCGTCCTACGTGGTGGACGACGACGCCCTGAAGCTCATGCGCAGGAAACTAGCGGATGTCGGCTGTAAATTGCACGTAAGCATCAGATCGTTTTGTCCACGATCTCCGAGTTGCAGTCACAGACTCTCAACGTATCTCTCTCTTTTTTTCACGCGTCTGCAGGAAGTGGAGGCTGACGGTAACTGCCTCTTCCGGTAAGGCACTCGATATTACTGGTGTCTGCTGATGCAATGGTGCCGCGTAAAACTCACGGTCTACAGGTGGCACATATCGCGTTCTGTAGCGCCCTAGCAGACCAGCTCTATGGAGACCAGCACCAGCACGAAGACGTTCGGGAGGTGGGCTCCTAATAGTGAGGGAGAGCTGGTCGATTATTGCTGATGTGCTGTGCTTGAATAGAAAATCGTGAGTTACTTGGAGCAGCATCGTGACGACTTTGAGCCGTTCATGGAAGACGAGGAGAAGTTTGAGAAGGTTGTGGACGCATAGAGGATAGAAATGCACGTGTTTGACAGACTTATGTGTGTTTTCTATTGCGGTACAGTACTGCGCAAGAATGCGGGAAGACGGCACGTGGGGCGGCAACCAGGAGTTGTACGCTGCTGCTCGGCTGTTTCAGGTGTACGTGGTCGTCCATCAGGACCAACCGAGCGCACGTATAATGGTGATCGAGTGCGACCGTCTCAGACCCACGCGGTTCGTTCACGTGGCCTACCACGGCGAGGATCACTACGACAGCGTGCGAGCGCTAAAAGATCCCGTGGATCCCGACACTTTGCCGGTTTCAATCGAGCTCGACTGCGACGGGTTTCGCACCGAGGACTTCGCTAAGGTACGTGCGTTTTCTTGTCGAATTCTCACTTGGTTATTTAGCGACGAGGTCGGTTCTTGCGCTTCAATTCTGCAGCGATGGCAGACGCATGATTCTGCGTCGAAATCCACTAGCGAGGACCAGCCGGAAGAGCGGGTCGTTCCAAAGACGCGAGGTTGATATTCTGGTAAAGAGTCTCGGTGAACAGTTACAGATGGCAGCTGGAACGGGCAAGACCCTAAGTAAGAAAGAGCAACGTCAAGTACGCAAGGCCGAGAAGGCTGCAAAAAGCGCTGCTCGCAAGGCATCCGCGTCGAAATAATCAACAACCGTAGAGTCAGAATAAATGATCTACATGTAGTTCCAGTTCAAGCATGGTTCGCCAAAAGGGACGAATAATACATTGATGTACACGCCGTCTTTACTGAAGTAGCCCGTCCTATGTGGTGCCAATTGACGTGTGTGGCTTGCGTCTACATGCTGGTGGTTAAGTTGTGGTTATCCCATGTTAGACGCTCCGTACTACGCTATCGGCAGCTGGTCATTGCTCTCCACAAATGTTTCGGCGTTCATGGATCGGAAATGGGAGCGTTTTGTGCGACTGTATGGATCCCGTCGCCCCAGCTGAAACGGAACTGCCGGCTACCTCTGCCATTACCGTATCGGGACCCATACGCCAGCGAGCGGGGTTTTCATCCATTTGTGAATTCACCCAGGGGTAGTGTATCTAGGGTCGGACATGACGATAAGACTGAGCTCTCGCTTCAGCCTTCGGTCGTTAACGAGTGGCAATCGCAAGGGAGTTCGTTTCTGGTTTAGCTCAAACTCCAATAACGTCAAGTCAGATAACGCTAGAGATGACCTCGAAGCAGATGCAGTGGCAGCAGCGCACGAGATAGACGAGAAGCTCCAGAAGACCAAACAGAGGAGCGAGTCGGGCTGTTCGTACGTCCCACGAGTCGAATACGGCTCGCCACACCACGGCGTAGAGCGAGATGCACCTTGGACTACCAACAAGCAGGTAGAACAACACTATTTAACCCTCGGGTGGACTGTCGTTCCTATTTGCAAGGACGGCAATTGCCTCTTCCGGGCTATTAGCGACCAGCTCTACAATAACGAGCTGTTCCACCAGGATATTCGACGACGACTTGTGGATTTCATCGCAAGAGAGGAAACCCACTTCCAACCTTTCGTAGAAGACGAACTGGTCGGTGACTACTGCAGTCGCATGCAAGAGGACGGCGAATGGGGCGGCCACCTGGAGCTGTACGCAGCGGCAATGCTCTTCAACATCCACATAGTCGTACACACAGGCCCGGTACGGAGGTTGCGAGTAGCAAACGAAGACGCAGACAAGAAGAGCCAGCCACCCCCTCCGTATCGGATACTGCATCTGCTGTATAAGGACGATCACTACAGCAGTCTGCACTCAAACGAAGACGTAAATGCCATCGCGCCAGAAGAATACACAGTCGTCTCAAGCGACAAACGGGAGCGATCCCCCATGAGGGCGTTCAAAGGCTCAGACAAGGAGGTCATCAAGGTCCAGGCGAGCAAAGTTGTAAATATTCAAGACCTGACGAAGAAGCCGAACAATCCCAACGACCCGTCCAGGAAGAACGTCAAGTTTGAAAAAGTTGTCGAAGCCAGACCGCCACCGCGAGAGGGCAAGGCGTTCCTGTATGAAGAAGAAAATGTTCCCGAGTGTGGCGTATTGCTCCCGAAGCAAGTGCTGTTCAAGCGAGGCAAGCGCCGTGTTAGTGGCGCCACGTTGTTCTCTCTCGTTCATATACCGTCGGCTAGCAACTTGAAGCCTGTTGTCGAGACGACCTCCGTGTCAACGTCTTCCGATGCGTCTACCGCAACGTCATCCAGCGAGGAGCAAGAGGACGACGCAGAAATACATTCTTCTGTAGCAGGACGACCCAAACCAAAGGCACCAACACTACGCGCTGTTCCCGTTGAGTTCCCGAGCAAGACTGTTTTCCACAAAGGTCGAACTACCGCTGCCTGCTAGACGCATTTTTTTCCAGCTGATTCTTGGCATCGGAACTTCGAATCACTTTGGAGATGGTCGTTGTAAGCACGAGAATGGACCTGTACGATTGAAAAAGTACGTTAACCAGAATTTCGTGAAAACTCTCGACCGAAGAAGCTTATTCACTTGTGAGCTTCACATCTATGACAGCACATTATAACACTGGTATGATAATACATGAACTGCCAGCTGGCCAAACTTGCCAACAAGCTCGAGGTACCCAAATTTAGAAATAGGGCGATTTGGTGTACCAAAAAAAATCATTTGCTCTACAGTTGAGTCGATGGCTCGATGTCCTACTGTACTACCGGTAGTATTGCACTACCTTGAGGTCTAGGCGTCTATCAATTTTTAAAAGCTAAATCCGATCGCGGAGGGAGATCGATATGCGAGTGTTCTCTATTTTCCCCTCTTTCGTCCCCCCGTATGCCCACGTCGGTGTCCACAAGTTCGCAGCTAAAAACTTTCTCAAGAGCGGAATTCTAAAATCTAGAACTGCTATGGATAGATCGAAAACTTTTGTGAACGGACGCGACCTTGAGCAGTCTCCGGAACGAGGAGATCCATCGCGACACTAATAATTCGAGGAAGGGGAAATCTTAATTATGTCAAAGCGAGAGGCCAAGCACGATGACGATTCCGGCAAGGACGACAGCGACGAAGACATTTCCGACAGCGGGAGCGAGGCGGACGAGGATTCGAGCGAAGAAGACATGTCCGAGTCGGAGGACGACCGCAAGGGCAATCCCAAAGCTGCCGGTGCTAAAGCGTTTGATGGTGTCAAGGCCGGAGGGTCACAACGCTCCTTAACGAACCAACCGTTCGACGAAGCGGTGGATTTGAGCGAGTCGGAGGGCAGCATCTTGTCCGAAGACCCGAACTCGCCCAAGAAGCCGGCGGGGGCAGGACGAGCTCTGAAGAATCAACTGTTCGACGAAGCACTTGAGTTGTCGGAGAGTGTTCAAGAGGTGGAAAGCCCGCAGAAAACAACAATGGACAAACCTGCGAGTGTGTCTATGGAAGCTGGAGCTAAGAGTAGTCTCCCTAACGTTACCTCGACCCTAGTGGGTAACGAGACGAAGAACAAACCGTTCGATGAAGAAGTGGATCTGAGTGACTCGGGCGATAGCATCGACACCAACGGCCAGCCGAGTCCCAAAGCTCGACAAGACTCGAAGGAAAGTCGTCAGCCGCCACCACAAATCGAGGCCAAGAAAACCACGGCGGAAACCCCGACTCCAGCGCTAAAACCTGCAGTTGCAGCACCTGAGAAACGTCCTGAGCCGGTACGGAAACCAGCACAGGAGTCAGCCAGTTCCTCTGATGAGTCGGATAGCGACGACGATGACGATGAGGAGGACGACGACGATGAAGGAGACGAGTCGCAGTCAACTTCTCATGTGGCTTCAGCTGCAGCTCCTCATACAGGCAACACCGACACGACTGCGAGTAGCGGAAGCTCCAACCACGCAGCGATGATGGCCAACGCAGGTGGATACAAGGAGAGTGACTATGCGCACTTGAAGGTCTCGCACGAGATTCGAGAACTCTTCCAGTACATTGGACGCTTCAAGGCGCAGGAGATCGAGCTGGAGACGCGACTCAAGTGTTTCATTCCAGAGTTTATCCCAGCAGTGGGCGATATGGATGCCTTCTTAAAGGTGCCGCGTCCGGATGGTCAACCGGATCAATTGGGACTGAAGATGCTGGACGAACCGAGTCTGACTCAATCTGACGCCACAGTCCTGGACCTTCAGCTCCGCTCCACGTCCAAGAAGAAACACGGCGACATCGTCGTCCGAAGCATCGAGAACGCAGAAAAATCTCCTCGAGAAATCGACCGCTGGATCAAATCCATCGCCGACTTGCATCGCACCAAACCGCCGCCTCAAGTTCACTACACGAAGACAATGCCCGACATCGAGAGTCTCATGCAGGTGTGGCCAGAAGAGTTCGAGGAACTTCTGGGTAAGACGACGCTGCCTGGTGCAGATCTGGACATGGGACTCGAGCAATACGTGCGAGTCATCTGCGCTCTGCTCGATATTCCAGTGCACAAGAACGTCTACGAGTCGCTGCACGTGCTCTTCACCCTGTACCTTGAGTTCAGTAGTAACCAGCATTTTATGCCTCTATTGTAAGTTCTCCGATAGAAGCGTCAAACACTGCAACACGCCTCCACTATTTACGATTTTTTTATGACTTGACATTGCTTCAAGTTCGGTGCGACGACCTGCGAAAACTTCATGAGGAGCTACCGCATCATTGTTGTCTTCATTCTAGTTTTGTTTTCATCCTGCTTAGCGTTTCTCCTCACTGTCTGGGTTCGATGCCAGCTCCTGTTGCTTCTCCATCATCTGAAGAATAAGTAAATATTAAGTTTTCAGATAATTACTACTAACCACAGTGCAAAATGCATCGACACCTTCTCCTGAACTTCTTGCAGACACTTCCAGCCGAAAAGAATGCGCTTGGAGATGGTCTCGCCGTCCTAAACCAAAATAGTGTGGTTAGAATTTACATTAGGTTTTGCATTGTTTTATTTTGAAGGCTCTACCGTCTCGTAGCGGTTCTGCTCGATCTCCATGCGCGCTTTCTTCTGTAGTACGTCGGACCAGGGCTGACCCTGTTCATTGCGGTGCGGGAACGTGCGCGTGGTGCGCAGGATCTCGCGGTACAGCCGTAGCACCTCCTTCCTCTTGTCCAGCAACACCATAATCAACGATTACCTCCACGGACAGGTGTGTCCCACATAGCACAAAATTAGCAATAGACCCACTTCAACTTGAAATTTGGACAGTCGCTGTATCATTTGCCATGGGGAATGCTGCGAGCGGCGAGACGGAGCCCGCGAGGCTCAAGGAGGAGCTGGCGGATATGCAGCGTTCTCTACAGGCGCTAAGTGCGCGCTGTCGGCCTCCACCCGTGCTTCGTCCCGGTCAATTGTCAATCGACAACATGATAATTGGCACTCGAGAGGGTACACTACTGCTTCAATTAAGCGTGTAAATCAGTTTGTTTACTTGTCATAGTGCTGGTTTGTAGAGGTAAAGGTGGTCTTAGGTCCCGTGGTGGGCAAAGTGGAGTTTCAACGTGCTCGGGTGCTGCTGGAAGTGAACCGTCGAGCAGTTGTGACAGCTCATGTGTCAACTCTCGATGCTGCCACGAATGCCATGGTGGAGGTGCCGCAGTGTCGACTGTCGGTGCAGTGTGAAGCAGATCAACCTGCTGTCTTCACGTTCTATCGGTTGGTACCGGGGAAGCGCTATGCCGTGACATTTGGGGGACTTCGAAAGGAGGACGTCGAGGCGAGTCGAGCACGCTTCCAGACCCAAAGCTTAGAGCATGGGAACAGGTTGAACGTCGTGGCTGTGAGTGGAGACAATGTGTACGATCTAGAAAGCGGGGAAACAACTCTGTGGAGAGAGATTCGGGAGCGAGTAGAGCAGAGAGAGACGCAAATTGTGCTGCATCTGGGAGGGCAAGTCGCGATGGAGCGGATGTTCGACAAGGCCGTGCAGTTGCTTTTGCTCCACGGAGAAGGGCTGAGCTACAGTGCGACAGACTGGTTGACAATGGAGACAAAGGCCACGGATATTCTCCGATCGGCGTATAGGACGCAGTGGATGCTAGCGCCAAACTTGAAATTCGTGCTCGCGAACTCCAGCAATTTGATGATATGGGATGACGCTGACATTTACCCGCGGTTCACAACGCGCGATGAGTTCTACATCGACCACGAACAGCCGACACTTTTGGTAAATGAGGTGACAATCTACTTACGAGTCTGGCTGTGGCTAATGTACGTATCTGTCGTGTGTTAGATGCAAGTCATTCGAACTGTCACGCGCTGCGCACGACGTCTCTACCACGAATATCAACGGCAGCTTTGGGATGACGACTTCAAGCAGCTCATTGAACGCGAGGTAGGTTCATCTGGAGAGGCTATTGCAAACTTTGTGGGATACAAGTTACTATTCTCCACGTGCGCAGGCTGAAATGCTGGCTATCGCACAAAAGGCCTTGGCCTCAACCGCTCAGATCTTCGCTCTGTCGAATCAGATCCCAAAAGCTGTGGAGGAGCTGGAGCTGCAGAAGAAGCGACACGACATCGACGGTGCGAGACGCGTGGAGAAAAATCTTCGAGCTGTGGAGGCCGAAAAAGTAAAACTGGAGAAGCAACTGGTGAGCTACAACCAGCTTTTGGCCCCGCAGCGAGGCGAAGAGTTTCTGTATCAAGTGGGGAGTATTGGTATCCTCGTATTGGACTTGCGTAGCAGCCGATTGGAGCCTGGAGGGTCGCAAGCGCGTGAGAATGAACTGCTGAGCAACGTGCAGTGGCGATTCATCGACGAAACGCTTGAGAACGCCGACATTCGGCTTCTTTTGGTTTGTTCCGAGACCCCGCTCATAGACGACGCTGTACTGGACGAGGGAAGCTCTGTCGACGCTCGTTCTGGCGAGGTTGCAACGTCATGGAGTGCAAATAGTGCAGCCCAAACTCGTCTTCTGTCGCAGTTATTCGACTGGAAAGTTCAGCAGCCAAGTCGCCAGTTTGTAGTTCTCGCAGGTGCGAATCCAGTGCGCTGCTTTGCCCAAATGCGAGTGAAAGACGCAAAGCTGCGGACCGAAGCGGAACAAGTTACAGTCGGGGCAATTTCTGCTGCACCGCATGGCTCGGAGATCCCAAAGAGAAGCGGACTTGTCCACGGTCGATTCGAGTTCGAGCACCTGGGAGATGTCATCAACCAGAAATGTTTCGTGGAGCTGAAAGTGGAGAGCGGTCCACGCAGCGTCGTGGAAATGAACCGAATCGGCAAAGACCAGCACAGCGAAAACCTGCCCAAAGTTCTGTGCGGACCGGTGGTCGGATGGGTAGACGATTGGAGCGCTGTGATCCTGCTAGAAGTCGACAGAGATGCTGATGTTGTGTGCTTGGTGGAGAACCCTCTGACACGCGAGAGTCGCCGTGTCTTCCAGCGCTTCTTTGCTGACCAAGCCAACTCCTTTTTCATCACACATTTGCGATCGGGACACTTTTATCGCGTTTGCTTTGAGAACATTCAGCATCCAGAGCAATTTCACGCTAGCTTTACGACGGTGGCGAAGTCTCCACAACAGTTCGACATTATCGCTCTATGCCATGAGAGCAGACCACCCAGACTCCCGAAGATAAACGACACCAGTGCAAAGGCCCCACTGTGGCATTCAATTGCGGAGAACACAGTGGAGATGCCTTTCGTTGACCTCAACTTGACTGTGCTCTTAGGTGGCCAGTTCTTCCCACAATCCAACGTCCACGTCCACGAAGCTTTGGTATATGCTGCCAGCAATAAGGCTTCACGGAATCCGCTCTTTCAATGTGAAGACCCAACGACTGACATCGTCCTCAGCCGGTTTCGAGAGATGTACCGAGCCACGTGGAATGCTCCTGGCGTTCGAGAGAGTTTGGCGCACGGCGCACATCTTTTACTGACGAATGAAATGGATCAACTCCCAGTCAACAATCAAGACGGTGAAGCTCAGCAGAGTGTTAGTGTCCGGGAATTGCTGACGAGATTCCACGTCCGGTACCAAAATTTGCTTCTCCCTCCTTCCAAGCGACTACGCGGCGAGGAAGTGCGGTGGCGTAAGCCTCTGTGTCACAGCTTTGGGGCCTTTGGGCTGTTTGTGCTTCCTATTCAGGAGCTTGGAGGCTCGTGTATTCACGAATGCACCTGGGAAGCTCTTCGAGTGTTACTGGCCACACCAAAGCTATCCACGCTACTTCTTGTATCAACTGAGGCGCTCTTCGACGAATCTCTCGAAGAGATTAGCGAGAAAGCGAGTATAGATACTTCTTACCGTCGCAAGTTTGGATTCTATCGACAGGACGTAGCGCGATTGCTCGAGCTTGTTTTCAACTGGCAACGAGAGGATGAATCCTCGGCTGAGAAGGGCTCGCAAGTGAAGAAGCAAGTTGTTTTACTTAGCGGTAGTCGCTATCAGAGCTTCGACTCGGTGATCCGCGAAGTCTACAGCAGCGAGAGCCCCCTAACCAGCACGGTGTTCCCTAACTTGCCCAGTGCAAACTCGCGAATACTGACGCAGCACGTAGTTGGTCCACTGCAAGCTCCGCTCTCTGACCTCCGCCCACACTCACTCTTCTCCCAAGGAACCCTCCTGGGACGCTATACGTTCCGCCACTCTTTCGTACGCAGGGGGATTCCATCAACTGCCACGGCCACTTTAAGTGCCGATTCGAGCGACGATGCTGCACGTACAGAGGCAAGTGTGGACCTGAAACGCGCCGTGACTAGCCAACTGCTTCATTTACGGCTAGCAATCACCGCTGACAAGCCCCAAACTGACGCGTTGGACCCTGAGCCTACAGAAAAACAAACGCCTTATGGGGTATGCAGCTTCGTGTCGCGTGAACCGCTAGAGATCGAAAGCAACATCGACACTGAAAAGTTTGATTCGGTTGCTCCTAGCGAAACCCAAACACTACGTTGCTGCCAGGTCGACAACTGGCAACTTTCAACGGTGCTGCCCTCGTGGCTGCGAGAGGTAGGAGCTTCATAAACCGGTAGGAAAAAAAGTCGACCACTAAATTCGCATCTTGTATCCGTAGCTGTTAGCTCAAGCTCCAGCTGAAGACGAGGACGAAGAGATCAAGCAGCGCATGGCGTATCTGCGCGACAGGGAAAGCGAGATTCAAGCCGCGTTCCAGCAGAGCTCAAAGCTTGTAGACGGACTGGTGACCCTGTCAAAGGCAAAACGTTGTGCTGCAACTCTCGCCGACTCGTTTGAGGCAGCACATCGCGCAGGAGGAAATGCCTTCCGAGGAACGTTTCCAGACGCCCCAACGCGGTTTATCGTGGCGTTCACGCTTCAACAGCTGCGGACTGCCGAGCCGCCGAGCCAGCAACTGAAACTCTCTAGCGGTGCTGTCGAGTTCGAGCACTACGCTCTGGTCTTTCTTCACAGCTTTGTGAACACTTGGCTCTTCAACCGACGCCTCAATGAATACTGGAGTTAAGAGATAGCTCAGATTACCTTCTAGGTCTCAAAACTTTTAAATACTTCTATGCAAGAGCTGCTACGAAAGTCACCAAGGCCAAGCCGAGGAGGTGAAGAGTGTGCGATGTCTCGGAGTGCAGCGTGTTCGCTGCGTTTGTGGAGCGCAGATTAGCAGTGCCGGTTCCAGTTCCTCCAGTTCCAGTATCATCTACGAAGTTGTGGGCCTCGTTCGAGTCGCAGATAATACTCGGGTCTGGACACGTGAGGAATCCAGTAAACCCAGGGATCGATAGTTTTTCTCCTCTTTTAGTGCAGTTAACTTGAATAAAGTCGCTTGCTTTACTGCGCGAGATCGTGAACTCGATGATACTGTTGCTGACATTACCGCCCCCATTCTCATAGCATCGCATTGCGTAGCATCCGGTTTGTCGACGTGAGTTGACGATCCAATTCGTCGAGTCGGCACTGCGGAGCGTTGTAGCTGTACACTTGCAATTGGGGCAGTAGGATTCCCCCAAGATGTTGATCTTGGTTGAGCCAGGGAAGACGAGGTTGCTGGGGTTGCTGCAGTCTCCGTACGTGTAGCCAACGTTGATCGGACAAAAGTCGGCAAAGTCGTCACCTCCCTTTGTAGGTGCACCAGCGAAGTACCGGTAATCTTCGGGAATGGATCGGCCATTTGAAAGAGTGCAGACTGAGCGTGACGAGGCGTCGACGGAACAGCTTTCCGCGCTATTGGTCGTGCAGAAGTGATCGGATGCTACAGACTCGCCTGTGCTCGGGTTAATGCATTTCTCAGTGGCGAAATCGCATCCACGGTTCTCTCCGAAATGCATTCGCTCAGCTGCCGACGAGTTCGCACGGTACCAGCCGGAATCCTCGAAGAAAGCGAGTGTCAATGCGCTAAAGACGTTGCGGAAGCTGTCCACTGGTGTCATGTACTCGGGCTCAAAGATCCGTTCTTCCCAGTGCGATCCGAGACATCCGGAGTCATCTTGCTGCTCGATTTCAGCTCCTTCCAGCGAGCCACAACCGAAGTGAGACTTGACGAATGCAGCTACATTTGGCGTCACCATTTTGGCGACGACGTGACCTCGTTCGATGAAGTGTTTGACGGTATTCGTACTTGGCTCGACGTAGTAGTCGATAGGAGAGCCGTTGGGACACACTCCGGTTTTGTGCGTTGGTGGCCTCCCGCTCGAATCACGAGGTGTGCGCGGAGTCCCGTCAGGATAACGCATGTAGGGGAAGAACTGCGCTGAGAACCCGAGAGCGTGCGTCATTTCGTGCATGGCAGTCGCCACTTGCGCCTCGTAGTCTTCAGGTGCGGTACTGATCTGTGAGGGACAGAAGTTTGCCATGCCAAAGGTAGGGCGATCGTATTGGTCCTTCTGGCACGATGATGCGTAGGCAAGAGTACGAGAGCCGCAGTAGTTTGTTGTCGTAGCACGAATGTAGAGTAGGAAATCGGTGTTTTCAGCCCCCTGCGTGTCTGTGACAGCGCAATTTCCACCTGCACAACCTTCTTTAGGACACGAGTTGCAATATCGTGTAGCTCCGAAATGTTCACTTGGAATGAGCATCTCGAGGCACTTTTCGTTCTCGACAAACGCCTTACAAATAGGAGGCGACGTCATCCACTGCGTCTTGCACGTGTGTTGGGCTGCCAGTTTACTTTGTACTGGGATGACTCGCAGCGCAGCCTTAAAGCGACTGATAGCATCAGGGATAACGTTGTACAGCACAGATTGCTTCTCTTCTGATAGGAGGTTTAGTGTAGCTTCGTCGTAGTATGGAGTGATACGAATCGGTTGGTAGGCGTTGTCGGAGGTCGTAGACTCGTACGTCTGGAAGTTGGTCGAGTCTTGCTCAACAAGCTTCCGGCTACGAGCGTCGAACGGGTGACTGTCTCCGTAGTGCTGGTGACCGTCAACCAGCTTGTGCTCAATCGTGTCATGGATGCACCCGTGAACTAGCGACACCAGTGCCACGACAACACGCAGGACTCCGGTACTGGTCCCCATCGTCGCTCAACGGCGACAAATAGCAATTGCAACTCCGGAACGCCACCCATATCCGTCAGCCACAGTTGCATAGAACTCATGCGTCAATGCCTTTAGGACTATTTTCAGTGATCTACTCAGGTCTCGGGGGTAGCAGGCACGTCAATGGGAATGAAAAGCTAAAGTTGGGACCATGTTGAAGTTGTCTTTATTTTGCCAATTTGGTGTGGGTTTCTTACACCAATACGTATTTAACATGAATGCGATCTGGCATGCATTCTTGACGAAGACCCGACAAGATGAAGGCGCTGATCCTCGTCGGAGGCTTCGGCACGCGGCTGCGGCCGCTCACGCTGTCATGCCCCAAGCCCCTGGTGGAATTTTGCAACAAGTCCATTGTGATGCACCAGATCGAGGCGCTCGTGGCGGTGCGTAAGCGCGATCTGTCGAGTCTTGCCAAAATAGTATTTTGCAATGTAAAAGCTAATATCCTTTTGGCGATCTGCAGGTGGGGGTAACAGAGGTGATTCTGGCTGTCAACTACCAGCCGCAAGTGATGCTGGCAGCGCTCGAGTCCATGGAGAAGAAGGTTCGAGTGCTGTAAAGAGGACAGAAAGTATCAGAGTGATGGTCTTACTTGTCGGCTGTTAACTTATCACAGTACCATATCAAGATCTCATGTTCCCATGAGACTGAGCCGCTGGGTACCGCCGGCCCATTGGCGTTGGCCCGTGAGCTGCTGGACGACGGCGACCCGTTCTTCGTATTCAACAGCGACGTCATCTGCGAGTACCGACTGGAAGATTTCCTGGACTTCCACAAGGCCCACGGAGCCGAGGGCACCATCATGGTGACTCGTGTGGACGAGCCGTCCAAGTACGGTGTGGTGATCTCCGATGCTGACGGACAAATCCAACGCTTCGTGGAGAAGCCGAGGGAGTACGTGGGCAACAAGATCAACGCTGGCATCTACATTTTTAACCGAGAAGTGCTGGACCGCATCCAGTTGCGACCGACGTCCATCGAGAAGGAGATCTTCCCACAGATGGCAGCCGAGGGAAATCTCTTCTCGATGGTGTTGCCAGGATACTGGATGGACATCGGCCAGCCCAAGGATTTCCTCTCGGGTATGTGTCTGCACTTGGACTACGTGGAGCGCACGAACGCAGATGCTCTGTCCACAGGCCCAAAGTTCATTGGCAACGTGATGGTGGACCCCACGGCAGTGATCGGAGACGGATGTCTGATTGGACCCAACGTTGTGGTCGGACCTGGATGTGTCATTGAAGACGGTAAGGTTTGATTGGCGTAATAGCTCAAGAGTGCGCTGACTGACGACGTACTGTATCGTGGGGTCTTTAGGTGTTCGACTTAGTCGAACGACGCTGCTTCGTGGTGTGACAGTCCGCGCAAACTCGTGGATCCAGTCAAGCATTATCGGATGGGGCTCCACTATTGGCCGATGGGTACGTTCTTCGGGGTTTTGAGTAGCGCTCTGGACTCTTTGAGCACTTAACGCTGACCTCAATGGCTGTACAACATGTATTTAGTGCCGAATTGAGGGAATCACTGTTGTCGGTGAAGACGTGCAGGTGAAGGATGAGAAGTTTATCAACGGCGGTCTCATCCTGCCACATAAAGCCATCTCAGCCAGCATTCCCGACCCTGGTACCATCGTCATGTGACCCGACTCCTCAGCTTAACCATCCTGGTGTTTGTTTGCATTACCTACCGTTCGAACAAATTTTAACCACATTTGCCATCCAAACAGGAGCTATATTAGCTTTAATAGGTATGCCCATCCACCTACCTAATCGCCACTACCTGCCTATTCTTCCACACGCACATGTATGCAATTGTATCTCTCACTTTTGATAGACACAAGTGATCGCAGCGTTCAGCCAGCTACTTGAGCGGCATCGAGAGCGATCTTTCCTCACTCGAGCCAGACGACGAAGAAGACGTGAGAGTCGAATTTCCGTCCGGAGAAAGAGCAGCACGAGGGTCGTCGTTCACGCGGATGCGGAGCTGGTGCATTTCCGTTTCCCACTTGGTCTCGAGATGTTCAATGTGGTTGCGCAGCGTGCGAATCTCCTCCACCATGCCGGCGTAATTGTCCTCCGCAGCCTTGCGAAGTTTGCTGCGGTCGCGCCGGCGGTAGGCAAATTTCATAGTCTCACCGAAAGCCACCATAACCAGTGCGAAGACCATCGAGAACATCCATTCGTACCATTCAATGTGCGAGAAGCCGAAGAGATCGTCACTGATGACGGGAATCTTCGTGACGGACAGCGTCAATGCCAACGAGCCCACAGCCGCCATCTGCATCCACTTGTTAGTGAACATGTCCTTGAAAACAGACTTCGTAAAGCTGCGAGCTGTGTAGGCACGTAACATCTCCATCGTCGTGATGTAGACGAAAGCCATCGTCTGAGAGCGTGACGTTCCTTCCGACACGCACTCGTAGTCGCCACCATAGCACAGCAACTTGTCGCTCTCGTAGAAGTCCAGCGATCGGATGCTCTCGTCGAACAGGTACGTGCCGTCAAGTGAGCGTGCTCCACAGTTGCTGTACGCCTGGCGCTCGTTGCCCAGCCCCATCCAGCGAGAGCACACCACATTCCTGTACGCCTCTTCGCCCTTGTCCGTGTCGATGTCGGCGGTGATGTCATCGAGGAAAACGTTCTCAAAGTTCCAGTAGAGACCGCACGTGAACACAAGCAGAGCTCCAAAAGCGATCAAGAAGGCGTTCGACAGCACAATGACCCAAAGTCGGCCGAAAATGATGCGCTCCGAACGAGGACGCGGACGCTCCGACATGACTGTACCATCGCCCTTCTCCAGACTGAGTGCCACCGCAGCCATACCATCGGCGAACAGGTTAAGCACTAGGATCTGGAGTGGCTCCAAAGGATTCGGCATACCGGCGGCTATAGCCGTGAAAATGAGCGTGATTTCGCCAAAGTTGGTCGACAACAGGAAACACACGAAGCGTTGGATGTTGCCATAAATCTCGCGGCCTTTCTCGACAGCGGACACGATACTGCAGAAGTTATCGTCGGTCAGGATCATATCTGAAGCTCCCTTGGCGACAGCGGTACCTGCGATTCCCATGGCCACACCGATGTCGGCTTCCTTCAACGCTGGTGCATCGTTGACACCGTCGCCAGTCATGGCCGCCACGTGACCTTGACGCTGCAGAGACTTAACGATCTCGATCTTGTCTTCGGGTTTCGCACGGGCAAACACGGAGACTTGACTCGTGATTTCATCCAGCTCAGCATCAGACAGATACTGGTTTTGACGCGGACGCAGCACACCACAGTCCACTGCTTGAGAGTCGGCATCAGCGCCGTCAGGAAGCAGGTCGATATCACGAGCGATAGCCACCGCCGTCTTGAGGTAGTCACCAGTGATCATAACAGTCCGGATCGAAGCCTCACGAGCCGTATGAATCGCGTTCTTCACCCCCTCTCGCGGAGGATCAATGGAGGCGACGAGGCCGACGAAGATCAGAGGTGCACAGAGGGCCTCGAACTTGGCTTCGACATCTTCCTCGTCGTCTGAGAAGGGCATCCTATCCAGTGGGCGAATAGCAACTGCAAGGACTCGAAGGGCTTGCGACGACAGGGCATCAACGGCCTCCAAAATGGTATTACGGTCACGATCGTGCATCGGCGTGACAGCTCCATCCTTGCGTAGCAGCTGCGTGCAGTTCTTGGCAATGTAGTTGGGAGCACCCTTCACATTCGCGACCATCATCGTTTTGGCAGGGAGCTGGAGCATATCCAAGCGGGGCTCACCGGCCGGAAGCTCGTTGACTGTAATCATCATCTTCCGTGTGGACGAGAACGGGACTTCGGCGACTCTCGGGTGTGTCTTCATGGCTTCTTCACGCCAGATGCCTGCTTTAGCGGCAGCAACAACCAGTGGCGCTTCAGACGAATTCCCCATGGGCACCCACATTGGTGCACCGGTGTCGCTTTCCTCCTGCTGCAAACTCGTGTTACTGCAAAGCACTGCTGACAACAACGTGGTGCGCACTGGGATTGACACGGACGGAGCCTTGATCTGGCTCACACCGTTGTGGAGTATGTCACCGGTCGGGTTGAAGCCCGTGCCCGTGATGTCGTACACGACTGAGTCGCTCCACATCTTGACGGCCGTCATCTTGCCCTCAGTCAGCGTTCCGGTCTTGTCCGTGCAAATGACTGAGCTGGCACCCAGAGACTCAACAGCAGCCAGTTTCCGGACAAGGACGTTCTTCTTCACCATGTCGGCCGTGCCGGTGGACAAACAGATCGTCACCACCATTGGAAGACCCTCGGGTACAGCACTAACAGCCAAGGAGACGGCGATCATCACCACATAAAGTGTGACAGACCGCTCCGGGTTCTTGGGGTCCGCGTTGCCGCGGACCATGCCGACAATGAAGACAATCACACACACTCCCAGCACGACGGTGCCCATAAACACGCCCAGCTTGTGCAGACTTTCCTGTAGAGGAGTCATCTTGGGGTAGTACTTGTCCACAAAGCGACGCCACCAATTGGGGCGCTTCGAGCCGTCCGCACCACCTCCCTGTAGTAGAGCAGCAATGGACCCCACACGGGTCTTCATGCCTGTTTCCAAGACAACTCCAGTGGCGTTGCCCGTTGCCACTGAAGTAGAGGCGAACACCATGTTGTCAGCCGTCAGCTTCTCGCTGCGACTCATGTCGGCGTCGTATTTCTTGAGCACGTCTTCGGACTCGCCCGTCAAGATCATCTCATTGACCTTGAAGTCCGAGCTGTGGAGGAGGCGGATGTCGGCCGGCACAATGTCTCCAGTCGTCAGCACAACAATGTCGCCAGTGACCAGCTGCTCGCTCGGGATCTGGACTTGACGGCCGCCGTCACGTAGCACGACGCACTGAGGAGACGTCATCTTCTGCAACGCCTCGAGCGCGTTGCTGGCGTTGCGTTCTTGGACTGTAGCGATGACGGCGTTCAGCGTCACGATGGCGATGATGGCCAGACCTTCCACGTACTCTTGCAGAGCGATGGAGGCCAGGGCCGCAGCCATCAGCAGACCGATGATCACGTTGGTGAACTGCAGTAGGAAGATGATGTACACGGGTGCTCTCTTCTCTGCCTTCAGAGAATTGGGGCCGTTCTCGACCAGACGCTTGCGCGCGTCCTCACTGTCCAGGCCGAGCTTGGCGTCCACTCCAAAACCCTCCAGGATGGTAGCCACGGGCTTCTCGTGCCAGGCCCATTGGTCCTCTCGGTGATCGACTTCGGCGAAGGATTCGCGGGTCTTGCGCGGGTCCATGGCCACGACACGCTCAGCGTCGCTCAGGAATCGGTCGCGGTGCGAAGATCGGCGCTCGAGGTCAACGTCATTGTCGACCAGTTGTAGTTTGGTGTCCTCTGCGCCCTCGGCGCGGCCGGCGCTGGCTCTAGGAGTGTGCGCTGCAGCGTAAGAGAAAGAAGAGGATGGCGGCATCTCCTCGGCCGCGGCCTCGTCTTGTAGAGACGACGCTTGCCTCAGTTCGCTCGGGTCCACGCATGATTTTTTGCCATATAAGTCTGGGGGGTCAACCATTCAAGGGGGGAGGGCGACGCTGGCTGGCGGAACAAAGAGGCCGGACGGAAGCTCTTGGACGACGGAGGCGAGTGCGCACTGGGCAGCAAATTGGATAATGACAAGGGGTACGACGGACAAGGTCTTTTCGTAGAACGGTACTGATAATTACCGTTGGGCTTACAAAATGCAAGTCATTAATTTTTATCCGCAGGACGAGGAGTACACTCATCAACCCACGAAAGATTTTGTACACTTTCAAGTCTGAAGAGAAGAGAGTCAGACTATTTTAGTCTATATTTTAAGTACGTCAGAAGAGTGCTGTGGAGTCCGGTAACCTCCTCTGGAAGTGGATGCCTCTCTTGGAGGACGATCCAACTGAGCAGTAAGTTGGTTCCTCTGAATTTGGTTTGAGGATGGCGTTTCTCACGCTTTGCCAGCGCCTCTATTAATAATTGTCGCCATACATGTAATGTCGATCGAAGCTCTGTATTAATAGTCGTATCTCCATGATGAATAACCGGATTGGGCTGCATCCATAGGAAACTACTCAGAACCCTCCAAAGTCGGCGCCATGCCCTTTTCAGTTCCTGAAGGTCGTCCATCAAAGGCATTGCGGAATCGTTGCTGTGATCGTCGGCGCTCGGTGCACTGCGCAATTGTGCACTATTTACCCTGTCCACATTGTCAGGAGAATTTGCCAACTTGCCTGAAGGCAGGGCACTCGCAGAAAACGTGCGCTCTTGTCTCTTTGGTTGGGAGAAGCCGGCACGCATTGGAGGTCGGTCGCTGCGGAAAACTTTTAAGTCTTAAAAGAGCAAGATTCTTGTGTTCAGTGCTCTTCTTCGCGGTTGGTTTTTATTCGCGAAAGTACAGGTGAAGCATTCACAGCCAGCAAGCAGAGTACATGTATCGGTTTCCTGCTTATGAAAAGAATCGCTGTGCAAAACAGAAATCAGCTTCGTTAATCGTTACGACTACTATACTGCAAGGACAAGCGAAGACTTGACCTGATGCAGCAACAGTTGATTCTTTGTTGCTGCTCAAGTTGTTGGTTACTTGAAAACATACCGTAGCAACTTTTATATTCAAACCTCCGTCAGTCGTCCTTTTAGAAAAGCTCGTTTCGTTTTAATTATTGTCCATTATCCGAAAAGTTTTAGTAGACTTTCAGAATGCATTGGACTGTTTCTGCGCTTTAATCCGTTTTTATAATCGAGCTGGTATTTGGACATCGAGGCGGCAACGGGCTCATGTATTGTAATATGTCGCCTTGTAAATATTCATAAAACTAATATTAATAAAAGGAACAGGAGAATTGATAAAAAAAGTTTTGCCGGGTGCTGTATCTGCATTGCACTCTGTGCGTTGGCGTCAGCGCCCAGCATTGTCCTGTTACGACGAATGCTCCGTCACCGCAGCCACTTTAAATACATGTAGCGTAATTTACGCTGCGTAAAGCAGCATTCTTTCCGACAGGTGGAGAGTCCCACCATCTTTTCGGAGGAAAGCATACGTACAGTATGTAATCAAATTGATATTATCAAAAGCAGTGCTGACTGGGGTGCTGTGGCCGGCGGACACTGTCCGCGGCCTGCTCCGCCGCTAAGGTACTTGTCGCCAATGGAAAGCATGTGCGCGCATGACTCACGAGACCAATCTCCGCTGGTCGTCTCACGAATGCATGAAGTCACTGGCGTCGGCCTCGCTCTCTCACGTCCCAGCTCCGTATCGTCGCAAGGGCTGGTCGAGCCTCGACGCCGCGGCTCCTGCTTTGTACAGTCGACACATCATGCTACGGTTCGAGACCGCGTCAGACTGACTAAACCTACTGTTCACTATTTTTAGGGTCCTAAAAGGGGTGGCTACTATTATTAGGAGTCCTAATAAAAGTGTACTGTAGGCTACAGAGTCAGCTACACTCTTCACGAAGTAACACTAATACATGTACTTTAATATAATTCATATATTAATAGCACAGTTTTAATAATACAGCACATCAACTGGACTGTAGTATTCCATATGTACACGTATAATTCATATTGTACATGTTTTTAAGTAGTACTACAGTAATTTATGAGTCCATCCATTTCTCCGCGCGTCACATGCTACTGTAGATATTGAGGCCCTGCACGAACGAAATTAGATTAAAAGCAACGACGGAAACAAGGGTTTCTTCAGCTCACTAATGGCAGCGAGTACGACGGCTTTCTTCGCCAATTATCGTAGCCGAGTAAGGGATTTGCTATCAATCAACTCTGGTTAAAGTTGAACTGGACATCGGTCTGCACGGGCTGGAAGTTGAGAGCCTCGCCGGTCATTCCGGACCCTACGACGGCCGGCGCTAGCGTCGCGTCCACCTCGTCTCCTTCTTTGTAGAACCACGTGTCTATCAACTGCGACGCCATACTGCTAACGTCGTCGTTCTGGTCGTAGGACAGCTCCTCTATCTTGGACAGGCATCCACTCTCCTCAACAGCTACGCGGCCTTCCTGCGGGTCCTTCTGCAACAGACTCTCGATCGCCTCTAGGATAACAAGCTCCACCATCGGGTCTTCCCATTCGTCGAGAAGCGGACAGAATGACTGCAACACGCCCATACGAACGACTTCCTCGACGAACTCGACATTGGCCCGCACGATGATGTTGCACATGGCCCATGTGGCCTCACGTTTCACACCGTACTCGGCCCACGACATCTGCTCCACCAATCCAGTGATAACTCCGGGTGAGTTCATCATCGCAACTACCTGTTCTTCTTGGCCACCAGCAATATTCGACAGCATCCAGCACGCTTCCTCTCGCACCGCTCGACTGGTTGTGGTCATCACACTCGGGATCACTTCCAGGAGCTTAGCATCAATCACGGCTTGGGAGTACGAGATCTCAGCAGACACAATATTGCCCAATAGTCGTAGCACCGGTGCGAGGATAATACTGCTCTGGGAGATGTACAACAGCTCCACAAGGCGTGGGCACAGACCGGCGCTAACGATCCCACCAACGACGTCACTGTTGTGAAGCGTCATTTCCACCAGCGCCCAGCAGCTATCACAAAGCGTAAGGACTTGCTCGTCCAAAAGATCGTTCTCTTCGTCTTCCAGTTCATCGTCCTCGCCAATGGCATCGTCCATAACCTGCAGCGGCCGCATGTCTGCTTTCTTGGCCTGGAACACCATGTTCTCGCCGGTCTCGAAGTTCACGTCCACGTCCATGACCTCCACCGTCGTCTCATCCACTTCGCGAACGAAGCGCACGACAGCAATATCGTTCGGCGCCGGCTTTCCTGTGTTGATCTACCGTCAGAAGAGGCTTGGTGAGGGCCAACTCATGTCGATAAGACCCTAACGACCCAACAACTAACGCACCTCAAAGATCCGCCACGGAGCGATAGCCGCTGCCTTCTTGAACTTGATCGCCTCTCCTGCGTGGCCGTTGGCCGACACAAAGTTGCTCACCTTTTCGTTCGAAAGCTGCAGGATGATACTGGCCAGCACCTCCATCATCTCTCGCTTCGTGTCTATTGTCATGACGCCGCTCTTATCCATAACCTCTGGGAACTCCACTAGACTGCGCAGTAGCCACACAGCCGCACGTCGCAGGGACGGCGTGGCCATGCGGATGTGGGGCAGCACCATGCTGGGCGGACAGACCTTGACGATCTCGTCGCAACACGCGACCGAGGCAGACGCGATGTTGCCGAGACACCAGGACGCCTGGATCTGCAGCTCCGAAATCCCGGACTGGAAAAGCTGAACGAGCTTGGGGACGGCGCCTGATGCGATCACAGCGTCAGCCTTGTCCATGGACGAGATGAAGCGCAGTGCGAAGGCGGCGTCCGAGTGTAATTGGACAGCATTGGCGTCCGGCAGATCTTCGTTTAAGATGGTCACGAAGGAGGGAAGGGCGGCCAAGATGGTGTGCCACAAGCCCTCGTGCTGTGAGTCGTTCTCGTCGAAAAGCGGAGGCACGCCGCTGGACAGCAAATACACGAAGGCGCGCATGGACTTTTGCCTCGTCAGCGCATCTGGCCGCTGGATCCCTGCAATAAGGCCATTAGCAGATAATTACATAGGACTATATAAAAATAATATATACCGCCGACCGCACCGAGTAGTAGCGCCTGGGAGCGCGACGCCAGGTTGAGCAAAAGCTCCTTTCGACTTGCGGTCTGTGAGGCGGCTGGCGGGTGGTTGGCCTTGAGATTGCGACGCGTGGCGTAGGCGTCCTCCTTCTTGGCCTTGCGTATGGACAACATGGTCTCCTGGCGGTTGCGGCGGCCAGTGAGCACGCCCACATGACCGCCCACCTTGATAGACTTGCGCGCCTTGGGGGTCGACATTGCCTTCGCGCTGACTCACTTGATTCCAGTATGAAAACAAATTCCTCAGCCATATCAGTAGATATGTGACCCTCACATTAAAACAATGTACTGATATACGTCTACATATCGTGATCTTCTAATTGGTCCTTGCGTAGCGGCCCAATCAGCGTACGAGAAGAATATCACCATTTTAAAAAGATAAGTTTCAATGACGTCGCTGTCTCTGAACGAGGCGATGGAGCTTTTGGCCAAGTACAAGGACGAGTTTTTTAATGGCATGTACACGGTCCCATCGTCGGACATCGCCAACCTTACTACCCCCTGCAGCTTATTTCTGAGTGATGGTCGCTCCTCGGCTACGCCGAGTGGTGACCATTGTGATGAAGGAAGTAGTCGTAACAACAGTAAGTTGCAGGGACTGAAAGTCCAGCAGGGGAGAAAACCGAGTGCTGCTGCTTGCTCTTGACGGCGCAAGTTGTCGAGTGTGTAGCAGCACACGGAAAAACCCCGGTAACATATATTGGTAGGATTAGCAGTAGGATGGGGCTGGCGGCTCGCCAGCCAATGGTCCGTCGAAGTCCGGCTTCTGGACGCGAGCATCGCGTCCTGGAGGCACCTGAGCCTCAGGTTTGAGCTGGACGCAGTCCTGGCTCTTCCTCCACACTTCACACTCCCACTTGATCTAGTCGAAGCGCAGCTTCAACATGATCACCTTGTAGAGCTCACCACGATGTCCTTGGCATCTTCTAGCTGCGCTGCAGCACGACGCTTCGTCCTTGGTAGCGCTCTTCCTCCTTCTTGTCTTTCGCATGCATAAACTGGTAGTAGTAGCTTGCATTCACGCATGGCGATGATGTTTGGCTCCCACTGAACGAGCTGAGCCTTGCTGACGGTTGATGCGCAGCACCTTCATCCCATCACGGCAATGTTCGAACTTGTCCTTCGGCAATGGCTTCGTCATCGCGTCGGCGATCATGTCGTCGGTGCCAACATGGCGAATCCGTAGCTGCTCGTTCTCCACGAGGTGGCGCACCAAGTGGAACTTGTTCATAATGTGCTTGTTCTTGCTGTGCTTGCCAGGCTTGGCAGTCAGATAGATGCACGACTTGTTATCGCCGATAATCTCCGGAGTCGCGAACTCCCAGCATAGTTCTTCACAGAGTCCACGTAGCCACTGTAGATCTCTAGTGCCTTCATTCATGGCAATATACTCTGCTTCCGTTGTGCTCTGTGCGTTAATCTCTTGCTTTCTTGATCCGTACGAAACCACGTTACCATTGACGAACGTCACGAACCCGCTAACACTCTTTCGGTCATCAGGGTCATTAGCGTAGTCAGCATCGGTGTAACTCGTCAGCTTGACGTCGTTCCCAATAACAATGTCCATCACTAAGCCGTGGTCTTGAGTACCACTCAGGTAGCGTAGCACCCTCTTTCCCATAGCGTAGTGTGTGTGGTCGAAGCAGGACAGGTACTTGCTGAGATTACGCACAGCGTGCGCAATGTCCGGCCTTGAGGCTGAGACCAGATATTGTAGTGCACCAACGAGCTCTCGGTACGGGGGCGGGGAGTCATCTTTCGCATCTGTGACCACCTCAGCGCGCAGCGCTTCCGGTGTTGCAACCGCGTTGCACCCCTCCATGTGAAATCGCTTTAGCACCTCCGTAATATGTTGCCGCTGGCAAAATACCGCATGTCGACGCTCGCTGTCGATCAGTATCTCCACGCCTAGTAGATACTTGACTGGTCCGAGAGATGTGAGTTCATACTCCTCACTGAGTTGCTTAGCAACCTTAGCGCAAAGGTCATTAGGGCCGAGGAGCAGTAGGTCGTCGACGTACACCGTGAGCAACATGGTGACTTCTCCTCCCACTTTCCTGGCGTAGAGTCCGTAGTCAGAGTCGAGGCGCTCGAGTCCGATCTTCGTCAGGAACTTGTGCAATGTCTTGTTCCAAACGCGAGGCGCTTGCTTTAGCCCATACAAACTCTTCTGTAGCTTGCATACATAGCGCGTAGAGTCTTCTCCGAAGCCTGGAGGCTGCTCCATGTAGACCTCCTCGTCGAGATCACCGTACAAGAACGCGGTCTTGACGTCGAACTGCAAGATGGGCCCATCCGCGTTGCAGCGCGTATACGATCACGCATCTGATCGTCTCAATCTGATAACAGGTGCGTATGTTTCACTGTAGTCGATGCCCATGCGTTGTAGAAAGCCTCTGATCACTAGTCGAGCTTTATATCGCTTAATCCGGCCCGTAGAGTCTCTCTTGAGCGCGTACACCCACTTGCACGAAATGACACGCTTGCCCTTGGCCTCCGTGCGTCGCACGAGCACCCAAGTTTCGTGCTGTTGCTGTGAGTCCATCTCAACTTGCATCGCTGCTTTCCACTCCTTCCACTTCTTTGACCTTGCCGCATGCTTGTGACTAATGGGGATCTGCACATCCTCGACGTTCTGCTTCGTCACATTCGTCACTACGTAGTCCTTGAGTCGGGCGGATGGTTGTCGCTTCCGCTTCGGTCGCGACGTAGCTGCACTGTCGTCTGGCGACGACTTCTGCGTCGTGCATGGCTCCCAGTTCTCGTCTTCGTGAGCATCACGTCGACTGTCCTTGGCCTTCGAGGCTCCCACTCGATTTGAACATGCTTTCGCCTTATTCTTGCCCTTTGTGTTCTTCCGCTTGGAACCTCCCACTGAAGCTGCTGGCTTCTTAGCTTCCTCGCTTGGTAGCTGTGGGTCATCACTTCGAGTCGCAGACTCGGCTTCAACTTCAACACCTTGGTCATGGCTCTCACCAGCAGTGGCCAGCTTCGCCATCTCCGCTGTTCGCCTTTCTGCAAGCTCTGCAGGAAGCTGCAGGTACGTAGACATTGTCGTCCGGATCGGCACGATCGGGATCTCCGCAGGTAAGTCGTAGTCTCCGTAAGCGTAGGTGTTTGCAAGAAGTCGCTCAATATACACAGTGTTTACCGTGTACTTCTCATGTGCCTTCATGTTTCCATCTCTGCACGTCGTCACTGATCCTGTGCGCAGGTTCAGCAGCTTATAGCCCTTGGTCTTCTCGCTGTAGCCAAGTAGTAAGCACATCTGCGTCCTTGGAGTGAGCTTCTCCTTTCTCTGCCGAGAATCATCAGGGATGTGCGCGTGCACCAAGCACCCCCACGTGCGCAGCACGCTGAGGTCTGGCCGCTCTCCGTACAGGGCCTCGTACGGGGACTGCTGGTCCTTCAACACCGGCGTCGGCGTCTTGTTGAGCGTCTCAATTGCATGTAGGAAGGCTTCTCCCCATAATGAAACAGGCATTTGCGTAGCTTGTAACATAGATCTGACCTGCCGCATGGCGGTCTGGTTCGTGCGCTCCACGATAGCGTTCTCCTGCGGGCTGTAGGGATTGGATGAACGCGTGTCGATGCCGAGGTCCTTGCAAAAGGTCTCGAGCTGCATGTTGACGAACTCGCCACCACCATCGGAGAACAGCGTCTTGATGGTCGCCTTCGGGAACTGGTTCTGGATCCAGCGAATCTGCTTCTGAATCAGCTCCGTGGCTTCGTCTTTGTAGGCTAATAGATATCCCCACTTGTATCTCGTAGCTTCGTCGATAATCAATAGAAACTGGTTTGATTTCGATATTGTATCCACTCCAACACTGCATAGGTCGACACAAAGCTTGTGCAAGGGTTTTGCAGAGCGAGACGGCTTGCGCTTGTAGCTCATGCGCTTCGTCTTTGACTCTAAGCATGGAATGCATTCATAGAGAGCAAAATTCTTCGACTGCATGTTGATGCCAAAGTTATAGGTTCCTGCCATAGTCTTGATAGTCTCGATGTTTACGTGGCCCATGCGGTTGTGCAGCAACGTCATGGGGTTCTCAGCTTCACTGGCCTTGACGCTCATCACGTTCTTGCTCTGACGTGGCGTCCACATGCGGTACATCCCGCGGATGTACTGGAAGCGCAGCTTCAATGTGTCCTTGACCAGCCACGTAGTCTTCTGATCATGCGAGATGCGCACCTTGAAGTTTCCTTTGAATTGCATGTAGGTCTGCGAGATCAGGTTGTAGGCAGCCGACTTGGCGTAGCTCACGTCATCAAGGAGGCGCTCCTCGATCTTGCCCGTGTGCTCGTTCAGCACTTGCATAAGCACTGTGCCTACAGTTGCGCGCTCGGTTGTGCCGTTGCCGAAGACTAGTTCTGCAACTGAGTCTTCGTGTAGCTCCGTAAACAAGGTAAGGTCGCTCGAGACGTTGGTCTGCGCGCCGCTATCCAACACCCACTCCACCATGTCCTGGTCCTTGTCCTTGTCCTTGTAGTTGAAGTTGTCACGCACCGCGAGTACATGCTCTTGTCCTTCAGCTTGAGTCGGTGCAGCCGACTTGGCTGTCTTCACAGTAACCACATCGATCATCCTGCGCGGCGGGTTGCTCGAGTTGTTGTTGTTGTTATTGTTGCCACGCTGGCGGCACTCAGGGATCGCCACTCCAATGTCCTTGCTCTCCGCACGTGTTGCACTTCGTCTTCGCCTTTCGCTTGGCGATGTCATCCCTCGCACTGGATGAGCTCTTGCTCTTCTGCCGCTTGTTCCGCCCACGCGGCGATGGGCTGCGGCTGCGACGATTGTTGCGGTTGTTGTTGCCTCGTGCTTGGCTGCTGCTCGAGTTTCGACGTCCTCTTCCGTCGTTGTGTCCGTCGCCACGGCCACCAACAAATGCAACATCTCGCTGGACGGCACGTCTACCTCCACCACGTCCTTGCTGTAGCTCAGTCTCTTGGCGTGAGTGGTCAGCGAGTCGAAGGCGCTCGATCGCTTGCTCCCACGTAATGGACTCATCACGTCCAATACGTACTTCATGCTCGTTTACCACCGCTGGGTACACACCCACTGTATTCGACAATAGGATAGAGACGGCTTCCTGCTCAGGCAGCTGCTTGTTCGCGCGGCGAAGTCTCTGTTGGTAGTCGTCGATGTCACGAATGTAATCGTCAAGTCGTTCGTCACGTTGCAGGCGACGATTCAGCATATCTCGCTTGAGAAACACGCTGTTTACTCCAGGATGGTTATCAAAATGATCTTCCAGTGTTCGCCACAGTAGGATAGGATCAGCACGTTGAATAACACTTGTAAATCGCATCTGTAGTTCTTGACTAAGTCCCATCGTAAGTTCACGTTGAGCAACACGCAGTCGTTGCTTGAAACAGCCGCGCTGTCCTTCGTTACGTTGGTCTGCCATCGTTTCGCGCTCCATGATGGGGTCCAAGAGGTGTGCGACGTCGAGAATGGAGCAAATCTCGACGCGCCACGTCTGGTAGTTGGTATCGGTAAGTCTTGCGTTCAACTGCACGTGTCCGCTCTGGTTCATGCACCGCGTGCATCTGTGGTCTCCAACCATGGGTTCGTCCGTAGCAGAGTCGGTCCCGGCCTCGGTCTGGACTGGCTGCGCTGCAGCCTCGGACGTTCTTGGGTTTCTTGGCGGCTCGCTCTGACGCGTGCTGGCGCCGGCGGTAAGTTCCTCTTTGCTTGGGTTTCCTCGGCGGGGCCCGTACGGCGTCGGCACTCGCTGCGGTTGTGCTCGAGCCGCTGAGAATTCTTGAATGAGCTGCCTTTGTGGGCGTCGGGTAGATGCTTCCACTGGAATGTTCTGCACTTGCTGCTGATTGGTCAGTGTAGTCATAACGGTACCGAATTGGGCCAATAAGAGCTCGAGTTGTTGCTCAACTCGGGTTGATGACGCTTGTGACGTCGCATGTGTCTCGTCTGACGTTGTCTCGTCTGCTCTTGCAGGCAACTGCAACTCGTCGGACGCGCGCGAGCTCTGCGTACTCCGGACTGGGCTTCCAGCTCTCCTTCTTGGGCTCATAACCTGAGTGATGGTCGCTCCTCGGCTACGCCGAGTGGTGACCATTGTGATGAAGGAAGTAGTCGTAACAACAGTAAGTTGCAGGGACTGAAAGTCCAGCAGGGGAGAAAACCGAGTGCTGCTGCTTGCTCTTGACGGCGCAAGTTGTCGAGTGTGTAGCAGCACACGGAAAAACCCCGGTAACATATATTGGTAGGATTAGCAGTAGGATGGGGCTGGCGGCTCGCCAGCCAATGGTCCGTCGAAGTCCGGCTTCTGGACGCGAGCATCGCGTCCTGGAGGCACCTGAGCCTCAGGTTTGAGCTGGACGCAGTCCTGGCTCTTCCTCCACACTTCACACTCCACCTCGTCGATAAAAGTCACTTTCCAATTGGGCTTCTAGTGCTCAAGGCTTCTCTTGTTTCCTATTGCTCCTGCTTACTAACGTCGCTATGCTACTCGCTGTCGTGCTGCAGGGCAGCTCGAAATGCTGTTGGTCTAGCAAGCTTACTGTGCTGCCGATTCTGGCTGGACTCGCTACTACTACGTCTAATTAGGGACCATTGAAGCGCACCAGTAATCTGCGTTGAGAGGGTATCCACTCAGCTCAATATATTTCTGGCTCGGCTTTTTATTTCCTATTGCGATGAAGCATTGTGGTGCCTGGAAGTTGTGCACCTTGTTTGACTCACACTAATGC